CGAGCAAATATGAAAAGCTGGCTATCGATCTGTCACGTGGTGGGTTGTCCAATGAGGTTGCAGGACTTCGAACCAATGGGATGGCTCAATGCTGTGATGCGCGTCACCAGTGCCTAGTCCTATTGCGAAGGTGCTTTGTTCTTCCTGCCCGTCGAGACCATTTTTCGTATCACTGTTTTCGGTGCAGCATTACCGTATTTTTTGTGAATTTTTTTGTTATTCTGCAGCGATGTGAAACAATGCTTTAGAAAATCACGTTTGTCTTTTGTTGTACTCTATTACTCTGTTGCCAACGTGCACACTTGCTAATTAGACGACACCATTTGTTTCTGAAAAAAATCTGCAGTCTTCTGGTTTGTATTGTGGCTTGTGCGTTCGCAGTCGGTGCGTGATCACAGCAATCATGAACTTGCTACAGCGTGAAAGTTTTAATTATGCACACACACATTTATCGACGTGGGTTTTGGTTATGTCGGAGATGCCAAGAAGCTTCACACATTTTGAATTAGCACTGGTATTTTCCATTTCGAACCAGTAATGCAACAGGCCTGGTAGAACTAGCCTAAAACAGGTCAAGTGGTGCTGATCTGTGGTATAGCAACGACTGACAAAATTTCGAACCGAATATGAAAGCGATTTAGAGCCAATAGGATACATGTATATCAATTTGCCATAATTTATAGATAACCTACACAAAGAACACCGTCATATTGTGAATCTGAAGGTTTGAACTGCAAGTCTGAGATCCTGAGGGATACTTTTTATGGCGAGTAAAACTTCAGCAAATGACTGATGGTTTGGTCTTGTTTGAATGTGCGTACCTATAACACCAATCAACTTAAGGATAATAGTCTACAAAGCTGGAAAAGCGTGTCTCATGGGCTCAGTGGTTTGGTTTTAGTAAACAATCCAGAAATTGGAGATGGAGAGTAGTAAGGATGACTAGGCCCTCACTTTAAATGTTAGAATTGATTAACGCCTTTGAAATAAGCTTTTGCCACGAAATTGACTGACTCTGTAACCACTTTGGCTACCTCAGCGGAACAACTACGGATTTTACGACCCTCAGCGCACCACAGTCCCAAGTCTGCATTTCCATCCAGGAAACCCGGTTGCTGAAACGGCAGTGGTTAGAGATGTGTCCGTTCAACCGCCATGCACAATGCGTCATTTTGGGTGTGTGCGAATGTGCCATTGGAAAGTATAGTGTGAGGGATTTTTTTTACAAAGGCGCTGTTTTGGACTGTCAGTAAAATTAGGATAAATTGAAGCATGCAGATCCTCAAACCGGTCTTATCCACTGCCGACTGTTTTGTCTTTGTTCCAGGGTGTTTTGGGCTGTTAACAGCCTCGGTTGTAAAGTTGTACATGCTCTCCACTTCTGGGCTTTTGGGGTGGAGGACACTGTGGTGACAACATTCGATACTGGTGGGCTCACAATCTACCAATTAAATTGAAGTTCCAAGTGCTGAAAATCGCTTAATAGCGACTCGATGCTTACAGATGACTTTGAGCTGATTCAGTATTAAACTTGGATGCACCTACCGTCAATTAATGGCGAAATAATGGCACAACATCAATCTTACATTCTCCAACACTTGCTCTAAGCCATCATACTACCAGATGAAAGTTGAATGGATCTAAACCACAGACATCTGCTACATGCGAAATCCTCCACCACTGATGCAAACGAGTCGGCGTGTTAAGCTTAGCGCCGGTGGTTCTTTCGGGTGTACAAGTGCAGGTGACAATCACGCCTCACTCAATCGCCACGCAGTCGTGAACGCGAACATCGCATTTCAGCAGTTGGTGTCGACTGGAGGAGCAAATGCAGGTGTTGAAGACCTCGCCAAGTGCCCTCGGACCGTACTGTGGCCGCCGCGTTTTAATTAACTAAGACGGCTACTCGACAGGACTAGGGAAGCTAGGGATGACGGAGACAACCGTTTACTAGACGGATCAACTTCGCTGTGTTGTCGTGTGTTAGCATTCCAATTCGTGAACAAATAATGCGGTTGTTGAGCCACAGGATTTGTATGAACCGGTTAAAGTACGGATAGCTGAAAGTGCATACGAGTAAGGCAAATAATGGGGGAGATAAATGCGCAGGGTTGCTGTTACATTTGCCCGTAACCAAGACAACATCCATTCAAATAACCGGTACCCAGATCCCTTGTCTGATGTTAGAGCCTAACTTTCCGACGCTAACGAAAGACACGACAGGACCTCGTGCATAGGACTGTTATCATCTCAGACGAAGCCCGAGCGGTCTGTCAGAATGACCTTGACCTGGGGGATGAAGGCGGATTAACGCAGACGCGGTTGTCAGTATGGCGTCGTGAGGGTCTCAGCCGCTAACGTCGTGTGGTTAAGGGATTAGTGCAATCAATGCCGAAAACCGGCGATGAGCCATCTTCGGGAAACCCCTGATCCCACATCATAGTAAACCGCTCGCATATGCACACAACCAGTGCAGTCTAAAGATTTACTCGTGTCTCTACCACAACCACTAGCAAACCACTCAGGCAACTCCGTGGTGTCGCTGTTGCTAGGGTTGCCGACTGCTTTCTCTTTGGGTAAAGGTGTTTGGGGTATTCGACCACACGCTGACGAAGCCAGACTAATTGTCACCCCGGCCACAGACGCACCAGATGACAGAGAGACACGGATACGAAGTAAAGCCGATTTCACTGGTATCAACAAACTCGGATGAATCCGCATTGAATGCATCAGTGAGTAGTGCGATCTTTGCCATGACAAAAACCTGTAATCGTGTTTCAACGCCTCCAACGTGTCCCAGCATAGCTATGTTTTTCGAGTCTTGCTTGCAGAGCAATCACTGAGGCTGCATTAACAAAATCAAATTTAACCAACATATAGTGGTGGTTGTCATAACAACCACCATAAATCAAGCCTTCACATATAAAGTGCATACCGCCAGCTAAAGATCCACGACAGCCTTATCTGCCCAATCATAAAGAAAGCCACAACGAATTTGATTATGTTGGAGCACGGAGAACGTTGATAATACGCTCTAATTTGATAAGACGTTCAGTGCGTTTGCACTCACGTTTTCATCGTACGAGGTGACATATTTGACCCCTTGACTTAGCAATGCAGAACTCAAAAAACCCATTTTATTCGTGAACTAAATCTTGTTTAGAATTTCCAATATTCTTGCCCACATCCACAACTCTTCACCGTTCCCAATTAATGACTGCTCACACTTACAGAGGTAACCACCCCAAACCAACAAAAAAACAACAGAAATGTTGAACTTCATAATCAATGTTTATTTGTGGGTTGATAGAATTACAACTCGGCAAAATCCGTGACGAGGAGCATGGAACTCTTGCTCAAGTAGGGCAGTTGAGCAGCCAACACCTCCCTCGGTACGCGAGAAAAACCCAAAAACAACAGTCTCTTCAACAACGCCTCTTCGTCGTTGCCTACTGCCACAAACACCTGACTCAACCCTACCTCCTCTAGCCACTCCATGCACGCGATCAGCACTGAGCGTCCCATGCCACTAACACCACCACCACCGCCCCGTTTCGGGGGAAACAGGATGGCCGTGGTTGTGCCTCTCACGTACACAACCAACCACTCCGACCTGTCGCGTCTTCCCTCTGCATCGAGGATGGTCCACATCGAAGCAGTCGACTGCAAGTCGTCCACCTCCACTACGTCCACATTCGCCGGCATGTTGCACATCTTCAGGCACCCACCGTCGGCGATCACCAGTTGCGGTTTGCCCTCTGCCACAAAGCTGAATGCATCCTCCTTCGTGAATGTCGGAGTCGTGCCCAGCGGACTCGCGCTCCCCGATGAGGAAACATCAAATATACGGTCGAGGCCAGGAACCAGGACTAATAGAGCAGGGGTGGGGGCGGCTACTTGAGGACGAACTCATCTCCATGTTAATATGACGGCAGAAGCGGAAACTCACGAAAGCAGAAGAAGCATGGTCTCGGTGGCAATTCACTGGTTTATTTATACTATGCCTGAGCAAATAGAAATGCTGCCAAGCCATTGGCCAATCACCATCTCGAATGCACACTGACGCACATGCAGCTAACCAATAGAATTATTGCATTCTTTTTGTCTGCATGAATGCGCGCACCTAGCAACGCGTTTTCTGAGCGCGTTGTTTAAGCTTCAAAATGCCGTCGGAGGCTAGCGATTTTTCTGGTTTTAAGTATTCTGCATTGAACTTAGGATTTTTGCAATAATTTTAATAATGCCTTGCGGCCTAAATGTTAAAAATGCTAGTTTTAGGAAGAGCCTGATTCGAGGAGAGGAATCATTTTGGCAGTTTACTTTGTGGTACAAAATACTTCGTGTTAACGTGGGATGATACGGCTGGCTGTTATATCCATCCTATCGGTCCCTCTATTATTAATGCCAGTTATCAGACCGACTGATAACTGCTCTAGGGGGTTAAATTTCTAACAGCTTGTCGAAAGTACACGAACTTTGTCGATTTCGCAGCTGTCGTCTGTGGTGCATTCAGAGATTATCTCAGAATATTTTAATCTTTCTTCAGAATATGAATCAATGCATCAAGATTTTGTATTGACACGTAAGTGTGTCGAAAGCCCACAATGCCAAGACATATCTGCAGTTTTCGATGTCTTATATGCCAATCAAAATTTATTGCAGGATTTTTCGGCAAAGCAGCACCTTTTAGAGCTGGCTTTTTCCGTTCTTCGAATCGATGACCGTAAAATTTTCCGTCATTTTGAGGAGACGTTTCCACATATTTTGAATAAAATGTGGCACAGTTCCTAACCAAGGGTTACTTCAATAACTGTTAATGCACATATCACACTGCGCATTAAAAATTTCGAAATATCATGCCTTCTAAATCAGCTGACAACCAACGCAATCAGTATGATTACGTAAGAAGCTGTTAAGTCGTATATCATGACCTTATTTGCTATCAGTATTATTATTGCCATTTTAAATTAGGTTATTTAAAATAGATCCACCAATAAGCAAATCACACAAATTCTACTGAATTTGGACCCACAAACTTCAGGGCGCAATTACACTAAAAACAAAGTTTATGACATTAATAATAGGAAGAACAAAGCACCTTCGCAATAGGACTAGGCACTGGTGACGCACATCACAGCATTGAGCCAGCCCATTGGTTCGAAGTCCTGCAACCTCATTGGACAACCCACCACGTGACAGATCGATAGCCAGCTTTTCATATTTGCTCGCGGGGAAAGCGAAGTCGCGCGCGTGTTGGTGTGATGTCGTGCTTTGTTGAGGTAGACGAGGCCAGCGCTGTGGATGGGAAAATGGGCAGCAAATTGATGCCGCACTGTTGTGGAACCAGTCGTGGTTCGTCATGGCCTCGACCGTATATTTGACGTCCGCCCACACAGCCTACTGAGCTGCCCATCATCAAGGTCGTGTACAGAAGTCGCATCGAGAGAAAGTTGTCGTCGATGTGCAAGCGTCACTCCCGAACACGTAGAATTCCTGTCAATCGGCAGACTGGACGATGGCACACTGGCGAAGAGGCTTGAGACGTGGGAGAGAGAGGAGATGGACGAGGGGAAGTGGCTGGTGTGTTCACCGTGTGCGTCGACGGCTGTAGTGTTTTTACCGAGCAGAAGTGGGAGATCGTTGTCGAAGTCAGGATTGCTGGGATGCATGGAGTGGCTGGAGGAGATGGGATTTGCTCAGGTAGTGGCGGCGATTGACAGCAGAGTTCGTGGCGTGTGGTTGCAGCAAGTGAAGACGCTGTTGTTCTTGGGTTTTTCAGTGCTTCCACCATCAGACATAGGTGTTTGCAAGGGGCTTCCAATTCTGTGCAATTATTCCTTCCTGGGAACTGATTTGTCGGATAGTTGATTGTGTCCTCGTTCTCCTAACCCCGAATACCATTTTACAAACCGCATACCCTTGTGTCTTGCCTGAGGTGGTTGTTTAGGTTGGTGTGTTGATTAATTTCGAAGAAACACATTCGATTGGTTTTGTTTTGCTTAATTTGGGCAAGTCACTTGCCATTTTTTCGTTGAGACGGGCTGGCATTGGTAGAGGGGATGGATGCAGAGTTGGGGTGTGATAGCGATGTGTCGGGATTCTGTAGATTGGTGTGGGCGTTGTAATGATGAAATGTGGTTGCCTTACTTAAGAGGTGCAGTGGCCAGCGTGATGGTTGTTTTGTGTCATGTCACGAATGGGTTTGGGATATTTGAGCGTTTCGGGAAGGCTGCGGAGATGAGTGGTTGTGGTGGAGAGCATGTCGTTACTTCTTGCGGCCTGCAGTCGATGATTTTCGATACACCGTAGCTATACTCTTCTTCAGATGTTAGGCATTTCCACTCTTGTCAGTAAGTTTAAAGTATGAGACGTTTAGTGGGCAAGTTGAGTCAGGAAAACCAACAAGGCGTTAGTCCATTATCACCTCGACGGTCACACAGTTTGACTAGTCTCGCGGTGTCTATTTCAAGCTGACGATTCTTAAAGGCATAAACACCAACCCTAATCCATCGGATGAAGACCACACACGGGATATATAAGCCGGCTCTCTCTCCACGATGTCTCAAATCCGTATGTTTGTTCACGAGTACATTGAGACAGATACTAGTTTCACGGCAGTCTGCCACGCATGCCATTTCACCAAAATGAATGAAACTGAAACAAATCAGCTGCGATGTCAAAGTGGGTGGGTTATCGCCATGTTGCCGGGACTGCGCAGAAAGCTTAAATCGAGAATTTGGACCCAAGGGTTGTGTTCATTTGCAAGTCAGGTGTGACTCCATTACAACAGGCCTAACTGTGTTGCTTGAATCGCTTTCAATAACAATGACCTGATCACTCAAGTTACAGGAATTTATTTCACTAGAAAATATTCACACCACCGCAACAACCACAGCACAGCTTGAAGCTCTGCCATTCCACCATAAAGAGAGAACAGAGCATGGGAGCGCAAAGGCAGCCGACTGAAGAAATGACGAAAGAGGGAGGTAGAGGTGACCTTAGTTGAATTCGCCTGGATTCAACTGGGACTGATGGGAGCAACCACAGCGCCGCTGGATCCATTGTCTGAAACAGGGAAGGAGGGTGGAAGCCACATGCCATCAGAGCTTCTCAGTCAAAATATCAACGACAATCAGAGACTGAATATCATCATCTGGCAGCTTACCCGCTAGTCGAACGATGGCTTTTGATGCTGTTCGCTCAGGCAAATCGCCATCATTTAGAGTCGATGGTGAATGAGGTCAACGGCTACAAGAACGCTAGGATTAAGCGGTGGCACAGCAAGATCCAGTGGAGCACTTCTTATCAACCGGAGAAAATAGCAGCTGAGAATTATACTTGGAGCAATGTGTGGCATTGACAGTGGACAACACCACAACACCTCTCCTACATCTTTACAGAGGAGATGGATGTTGGGGCTCCTTTCTTGGTATAATGGGAAAGAACCTCTGTCGAGATAAGCCCGAGCCCGACACTGTCGCACTCTTAATTATGATGCAATCAATTCTAAAATTTATAATATTTCCACGGGAAGATGCACAGAAAAGGCAGTGGGTAGACGGTGACTCGATCAGATGAATGAATCTAAATCCCAAAAACCAGTGATATGCAAAATCCTTCAGCACTTGTGCATACAAGTCGGCGTGTTATGCTTAGCGCAGATGGTACATCCGAGGGTGCAACTGCAGATTTCGACATAGGAAGCGAAGGTGACAACCACGCCTCACTCAATCGCCACCACCTTGTCTTACAACCAGCGGTAGAGTAACACACAATGCCCAAACCCTTCCAATGAATCACCAGAGTCTCGGGTGGCGGACGACTCGCTGTTAACGGGGTGGTAGTGTGTCAGAGGATGTGGCAACGGGACTGATGGTCGTGAACCAATGCGATTCACAGCACAGCAGACGTCCCCTACCGAACACCACCACTTTGTCTTACAAGCAGCGATAGTGTAACACACACTGCACAAACTCTCAACCTCCGCTACTCGACTTCGTTTCGAGTTATCTGCGAACGATTACTCCCACACCACAATAAATTGCTCGTATATGCACACAACCAGTGCAACCCAACGATTTACTCGTGTCTCTACCACAACCACTAACAAACTACTCAGACAACCCCGTGATGTCGAAGTTGCTGGGATTACCGACTGCTTTCTCTCTGGGTAAGGGTGTTTGGGGTATTCGGCCACACGCTGACGGAGACAGACTAATTGTGTCACCCCGACCACAGACGCACCAGATGACAGGTTGACAGACATGAAGTAAAGCGTCAACAAACTCAGATGAATCCGCATTGAATGCATCAGTGGGTAGTGCGATCTCTACCATGACAAAACCCTGTAATCGTGTTTCAACGCCTCCAACGTGTCACAGAATAGCTGTTTTTCGAGTCTTGCTTGCAGAGCAATCACTGAGGCTGCATTAACAAAACCAAATTTAACCAACATGTCTACTACTTCTGATTGAGAGATGTGAGGGTGGTGGTTGTCACAACAACCACTACAAATCAAGCCTACACATATAAAGTGCATACCGCCAGCTAAAGATCCACGACAGCCTTATCTGCCTAATCTTAAAGAGAGCCACAACGAATTTGATTATGTTGGGGCACGGAGAACGTTGGTAATGCGCTCTAATTTGATAAGCCGTTCGGTACGTTTGCACTCACGTTTCCATCGTACGAGATGAGACAAACATGACCTCTTAGTGATGAAGGATGGAAAATTTCCATTTCAATTGTGAACTCAATCTGGCTTGAAATTTGTAATGGTCTAAAAACCGGTGCACGATGTTGAATGAGCCGATATTGCATGCATATCCATCGACACGAATTACAAAATTTGAAAAAGGAAAACATGACTAGATGTGGAGCTGTGAAAATCCCGAAAGACGTTGTTCTACTACTGATCACTCTGTGATGACACCTCGAAAGGGAGAAGCTGTCCGATTGTTTCGTGTCCGATTTCCTTACCTAGAAATCAATACCGTGGCGCTTCTCGTGCAACGAGCCATCCAACTGCCATGCACATTGCGTAACCAATCAGAATCCATTCTGACAACATTCCCATCGACTACAATGCCACGAAACAAAAGAATGGTGCCAATAAGCTGAGAGGTGTCGTAAGTTTGGATGGCATTCTTGTTATAAAAGAGGCGAGATTAAAGGCCGGTTAGTGTTTAAGGCAGTTTTCAACAAAATCGACAGCAGACACCTCAGACCTCCCAAGATCGGTGCTCCGAAACCATTCACAAATCGATCTACCTTTCAAGCTCAATCAAATTACCCGACTGAAACGCAAACTACACATCGAACGCGATCCTGCAATATCTGTAAGTCGGCAGTTTATTTGGCACCGATGTGCTTCCAGGAACTTAGCTCGTCTGAGATGGATTTCACGAGCTTATGAAAACAAACCCATAGAATCCAACGGTGTTATTAACAGCACCTAGAGAGACGGTGTGAAGCAAGCATGCTCAAGTGTATAATGCATTAGAGGAAGAATTCAACACTGTGCTGAGTAGACTTTATTAATGAAAGGCAAAAAAAGTAGACGAGACCTATCTGTGGAGTCCACTACACAAGAGTGAATTGCATCCTCCGGAGTAGCTTCGTGTGCACATTATCAAAATAAGGAAAGCTTTGCCTGAAATAGGGCACTCAAACGCACGCACAAACACAAGGCGTTGGAGTTTGTCATTTGTCACTTTGACGTTCCAATCGGCATCTCAAAAACTGCGTGGGAGTATTATGGGGGGAGGAAAGGGGCGAACGATAAAGTGACAAATAAACGCAATCCGACGCAGACCGCCTTGATTACACGTAGCAAATCGCACACACAAAAGCACTTGTTGTAGATATAATTTATTATTATTATTATTTGAATACTTTGTTATTCTTACTGCTGCAAATCTCTTACAGCCACAAAACTCGGCGGTTTCTGGTGTTTGCCCCTTCTTCAAATTACCGATTCCAACTTCCCCAGTTTGGCCCGTAATAAGAGAGAGAAAAGAATTAAAAATCGATGATAGAAAACGGACTTAATGACGAGCACTGCTTCCAGCATCACCAAACACAAATCGCACATACAAAAAGGGGAGACACTTTCAAGCAGCCGTTTTTCTCAGGCCAGTACACATAGTCACTTGTGTGTGTGTGTGTGCTTGTGTGTTTTAAAAAACAACGCATCAAAGCATGATAAAGAAATGAGCTGGCGCGCGCGCTCGTGTGATTGGTTGGTGGACTTCTCAAAAGTCGATGCCCGGAATCAATTGCCTCGGCAGATCGTCGAGGATTTCTATCGCATTCGACGGCTGGTTTAGCTCGGCAGAGACAAGAAGGAGGTCAGCCTCCGCCTCCTCCTCCGCCGCCGCCTCTTTCGGCTCCTGTTTGATACCGGTGGCGTGGAAAGTGCGCGCCATTCGGGTCAGCGGATCGTCTAGCTCTAACGGAGGCAGGGGAGACGAATCGAGGGGGTGGCAAGCAGAAGGAGTCTCCTCGGGGGCGACAGACGCCTCCGGCTCCGCCGCCACCGCCTCGTCTTCCAGCAGCTCCGCCTCGGAGAGGGCCTTCAGCGCGGACGCGGGCAGATTGCCTTTGGAGAGGAGGTAGAACACGCCAACCTCGGTGCGTTCGAAGAGGGTGCGTTTGAGACGCGGAAGCGGCGCCCGCTTGCACACCAAGAGGTAAGCGGTTTGCAGCTGATCGGGCAGATCGAACTCGATGCGCGTGAGGAGCCCCCAGGCGTGCGCCGAGGCCCGAGCCAGGTGCCAGAGGGAGTGAGGCAGAGCCGAGAGGGAGATGCGAAGGGGAGTGACCACCGCCGACGCCGCATACGCCTGGACGTACTGTTCAAGCTGGTCACGAGAATTGAAGAAGCCGCTGCCGACGGCCGTGAATTCGGCGTCCGGTTTGAAGGCTGAAATGGCCGGGAAGTTGCATAAAAAAGAATAGTTGATGAATCCTTGGTATATTGAAAAGACATTTGCCCTAAATACGAGGTACCAATGTACGAAATAACTCCATCTCAACACGAATTTCCGTCAACCAATCAAAATCATTTCGAAAAAAGGGTTAGTGAGGTCACCTAGTGAAATGGGACAGCCCGAAGGGGTGTGCATGTAGGCAAAACTTGGCTAATAAATGTCATTTACCAGAACTTCCAATGAGCTCGCAGTGCGCTTCGAGGTGCTCGATTGGCAGAGCAAACTGCTTCTCGTGTTTGCCCCACATCAGACTGTCCACGATGCTGGCCTCTGTCAGACCCCACAGCGGGTGCATGGAGTCGTCGTCCTCCGGGATATGCGGGCCTGCGATTTCCTCGTCTTCAGCTGAAAGTCAGCCATCCGAGACGCAAAATATAGTGTATACTTAAGGAATTGTCAGTACAAAAGGTATTTCAAGAACTCACGATCAGGCGGGGGCAACAGTAGTCCCACCACGGGTTGGGTTTCCTTGAGTTTTCGCAGCAACCGGAAAGCGGCGTGTGCCCGAGCAATTACCACATTGACGGCCGTCGCCTTGGCACAGCGGTGACCATCAACCAGACCGTAGCCCGTGAAGACGCCGGTGGTTGAGTCGAATTCCACCTCGAAATCGATCGTCATCTGACTGAATTCGGCGGACTGAGCTAGGTATTGGTCCGGAGTTAGCTTAATGAGCAAACACAAGGCACCATAGCAACGAAAACTCAAATTAAAGTCCTGTCCGAGTACACCGGAAGCAGGACGCGATTAGAAAAGGTTCCCAATTCTACGAACAGAAAAAAAGTGCTTACCACGGTGTCGATGTTCACGGCAATTGGCAGAGCAGTGTACAACCACAAGTCGTCTAGGGGTTTGGGATTGCACACCCGAAAAGTCTCGGCGGGGTCGTCCGGAGTGATGGGCTGGTCCGAGGGTATCGACGCAAGCGGGTCAGCCAGGAAGGGGGTTAATTGGGGTACCTGGTCGGCCTTGGGACTTAGACAGAGGGTCAGGTAATCGATGACCTTGCCGTTACTGCTGTGCCACGGTCGAATGCCACCGACAAGGAAGTTGGGCCTGGAGAGAACAGCCAATGCCTGAAAATTTCACGAGCAAGTCAACAAGCGGGTCAATTGGAAAGTGCTGAGCGACGGAATAACTAAAATGGAAGCACAAGCTTACCTTGCGGGCTGCGCAGGACTTTGCCTGAAGTTTGTGTCCAGCAAGGCCCTGGCAGATGAAGATATCGCCGATTAGCAGGTCGCATATGTACATGGATTTAGAGTGTTCCTCGCAGGCAGCATTTATCTCCACATCCAACTCTTCTTCTCCCTCCTCCTCGTCCTTTACAGTCGCCTTGTCGTCTAGCGTGTCAAGAGCATCAACCCAATGCCTTGTTACTACGCCCTCTTCAACTTCGCCCTGCCGACAAGCGTCTTTGTCTCCATCGTCTTCGACTGAGTCGGCGTGATTACGGGGAACTGAATCGTTGGACGAATCAACTAGTGCAACCTTTTGACCGCCGGTTGCGGAGGAGTTGGCCTCTAACTGGGCGTGCTAAAATATTGGACGCAGGGCGACTGTGAGCACGAATCTGTGCTTGACAAGTAAAAAGCGATCATACGAGTGAACCGCAGTTTACTGTGGTAGAATTAACTGGTACGTTGAGAGAGATTAATCCGTTAATTCGCATGGTTTACAAGTAATTCAACGACGAGTAAATTGTGTGGCTGCTGAACGGTTTTCTCTTACAAAATTACAAGAAACGTGTTTGAGGAATGACAACAGAATTCTACCAACGTGCACAAATAATCGTTGGTAGAAACCAAGTTTAACACAATTGGGCTGAGCTGGTCGATAGGTGTGCTTCCACACTACAAGCTACTCTCTGCAATGCCTACATAATAACCTACAGTACGAAGATTGGTTTGAGCGATTGCATGTGCAAATATTGGTGAGTACGCAGAATGAATTAAGAATGATCTACTCTGCGACGTATTGGAGGTCGCCATTGTTTTAGAATGGGCGGCTGACCTTGAGACCACAAGTGAACGGAGTCTGGGCTTCGGGGGGGAGGCGGTTAATCCGATTGAATACGTAGGTGACCTTCGCTTTGGCGTATTTCTCAACCGTGGTTTCAAGGGCTGTCACATAGTCTATGTTGACTGGCATCTTGGTTGCAGTCGATTTGCGCACGGCAATCTCGTGGGCTTTGTCGCATACGTGCACCTACAGATGGCAAATAACAACTTGAATGCTGCAGACGATGATGGACACAACCAGAATTCGGGCATAATTACCTGCATAACGCAAACCAGTGCCTGTTTTCTCAACAACAAGACAGTCGGAGGTGGAGGAGGCATCCACGATCGTGGTTGGTTATGATACTCCTCAGGAGTGATGTAAATCGGCAATTCTTCTTCTTGGGTCGATCCAGCGCCGTTTCGTTGATCCTTCGCCACGTCTGCAGACTTCTCGATATCAAGAGAGCAAGGCTTTAGGATTCCATAGGCTCCATACTGGGTGACAGGACCGGAGAGTTCGGGAGAGTCGGCCAACTTCGGGTCAATCTCTTCTTCGGGAGGTCGTTGAGGAGGAAGAGGGATAACGGGAGTCGTCATTGCGGCTACCGACGCTGCCGCTGCCAAAGACGCCGCCATTTGTTGCTGCTGAGTGAGAATGTAACTTGACAATAGGCTCTGAGCAGCCATTTGGCCAGAAAAGAATGTTGCGAGGGAGTTAATGGGAGCTGAAGGAACGGGGACATAAAGTGTTGGGGTGATTGGGATAGGTTGAGGGTACATAACGGGTGCGTGGGAAATTCGGACTGGAGTCTGACAAGCAACCGCCCTGTCGGCATCTGGATCATGTGGAGGTGGAGGCGGTGGGGGTGGTGGGGGAGGTGGCGGTGGTGGAACGGGTGGCTCTGGTTGTTTTGACTGACTGACTGCTGATGCTAGTGCTGCCGCGGTATCAACAGGAACTGAATTAACATCAACGCCGAAATGCTGGTAGAACCACTGTTCATACTGCTGCATCCAGTTGGCAACAAGTTGACGAACCTCACTCGAAGATACTTTAGACACAGGATCCGAAGCAAAATATTGAAGGTCTGTATTTGACGGACCACAATTAGACGCAAAAAACCCTTCTTTGGGGGCTGCAGAATAGTAAGCAGCGGCATTTTGAGAGAGAAGAGTTGTAGGGGAGAGTGGTGGGTCTGTCATGGGAGTGGGAGGTTCTATGAACTCATCTTCTTCGGTTTGCGTCCACGCATCGTGACGAGCGACATTGCGCTTGCGTTTGGGTGGAGCATACATACGGTTGACTTCACTGGTCGGGGAAGCGGCAAGCTCGATTTTCTGGCTTTTCGATTTTTTTGCTCCAGATATAACGGCTTTAAGAAAGGCTCGGATGTGAGCATCGACCTGCTTGGTGGAACCATCAACGTCATCCGTTTTTCGTCGTTTTGGCGCTACTAGTGGATCTACAAAAGAAAAAAACAATGGTTGAAGTTGTTCCTAGAAGAACATGAAGCATAGATTCATCTAGTTCATTCAACGGTTTTGGCATACCACAATAACATAGTGATATATAGTTACCGAACTAAAACCTAGAATAAGCAATTTCACAACATGGCACATTCCAAACCCTATTTAAGCGAGTACATGTGAGCATTGTCACAGTGTTCGTGTATAATGTCCCGTAGTCTGAGAAATCTTTCCTTCAGATAAAAATCCTATGAGTAAAAAGGGGGGGGGGAACGATGTTAAAACACGAGACCATGCCACTGATTTGGGTATACGAACAGGTGCGACAATTCAGTTTGGGTGATGCTGAAGGCGACTAAGCTCAACCGTTAAGGCCTTAATGATAAATGAACGCCTAATTAACGAGAAATACAAACACATATTTTATAATCTTAGAACTGGTAGGTTGATCTACCCGAAAAAGTTCGAAACTCACCCATTCTGCGAAATGCAAAACAGACACACGAACCACAAACATCAACCGTTGTTCAAATGTTGATTGGATACTTCGGGCGTTATTTGAAAAATATCATCGTCAATTTCAGACGCTGAGCATAACAACAAAAAAGGTGTTACAGTAATTATTAAGACATACCAATATCATATTTTCTTTTTTAAAAAAACTCGTTTTCAAAAAATACCAACGACTTCTAGAAGGATTTGTAATAATATCATGCATCCTTTTTGATTAGGCTAATTAATTATTAACAACATATTCCAATATTTAATGATGTCCGTAAATAACAGTTTAATCCAACAAAAATTTCTTACCTCCTTAAGATTGTAATGACTTTTTGTTCTTACAAAGTAAACGCTTTGTTTCTTTTAGTAACCAAGCGCATACTTTGTTTCGTGTATTTATTGCTTCCTTGATTTTATTGCACATGATTTTCATCCCATTCCAAATCTTATAGCTGAATGCTTCTTTAGCTTATAGTGGCAAAAGCAACCATTGAAAAAGTTCTAGCGAAAAATATAAATGTATTCATATTGAAGACATATTCAACGTTAATGTTCAAAATCGACTCATTTAGATAAGGTCAACTTGAGGGCATGTCAAATTTTTGTTTGATGGACAGAATAATACACAAGTTGATGCGCATTATTTTAACAATGGCTTGAACAAATCCACAAACTAATTGCTAATCTGTGACAAAAGTATCGCAATGTGATGTTCCCACAGTTAAAATGACGAAGATCGAATCTGCTGCGTTCTGACTGCATAAATTTGTATTAAAAAGTAACAACCAATTATGAAAACAAGAAAAAAAATTGAAACAGCAATGTAAACTAAGAATAAATTATATAATTAATTCAAATGGAAACGGCTTTACAAAAAAACACCAACTTTTGTGATGATCATTAAGTGTTACGCAAAAGAATAGTCATGGTTGCAATTTGAATGAGGCACCTGCAATATGTTCCAAACAATAGATTTTACGACCATAAATAGAGTAAACTTTAATTGTTAAACACAAGTGCTTTTGTTTAATTGAAATAGAGTTCAACATGGATACTGTGAGCGGTATTTAGTATGGAACAGAATTAAAGCAATAGATAAGTCAAGACCGAGCTGGTAAATGTTTCAGGTCACATTTTTTAATGACACTAGAGCGTTGACCACTAATTTTAGATGTTTTCTTTCACGAAAGCCAAAGTGTCGAATGCAGCAAACAACGCAAAACGATTTGTTAATTGCTTTAATTTTATTGTTTGTGGTAGCGAATGTGTTGTAATAAGCCATCTGTTTCTGCCACATCTATTTTATGCTAAAAATATGGTTAGAGCCTCAAACTAAACATTGTGGCTTACTGAACAGCTGCTTTATTACATCCATGTGGTTTTTGCTAAAAAAAACAATGAAACTGAGCGAGGAATACTTTACTGCTGTCATAGGTGAATAACCCAGTTTTCAGTACTACATTTTCACACAAAACAGAAAAATAGACAAAATTTTAGTTGCAGTGGTGCACATGAACTGCGGTGTTGAATAGATTATCTGGAAAACAATTTAACTAGCTCAGTTAAATCGAAAAAAAAACTCGGGAAAAAAACTCTTTGCTAGACATTTTCGCGGAAATTGAATTCCACCAATTTGTTCAGACATCAAAGCTGACAGTCATCAATTCGGGCTAGAGGTTAAAGCCAATAGTAAGGCGGATTGGACATGTTCACGTTATAGATTTTTAATTCGATCCAAGTTTTGAGAATTACTGCAATTCTAAAATGGGGAAGGAGACTAGCTACGAAATGGGTTGTAATTCATGAATTGAAGATCAGGCAATTTAGGACGACAAAAGCATTCGTTGCTGTCAGTGGTAGAAATGAGTTAGTTAGGCGGAGTCACAAGCCTGAAATGTGTACCAAAACCGCGGTGGTGAAGGCAACGAGTCATGCAAGCGCACACACCCACACCCATGTGCACAAGCCGTGGGTGATGGTTGAGAGCTTAATGCACATCGGCTGTCGTGTGCGCTGGTGTGGACTTGTGGGTTTTGGGTGAATCACAACAGTGGCATTTACGAAAAGGTTGTCTGATACACTGATCGAATACAGGTAGCAAGCCGAATGCAAATTTCCAATTGTCGGAGTCTTATTTGAATCAATGGAAGGTCTAAAGGAGATTTAAGCAATTACAAGAATTCCATAAATATAGATAGCTGATTAGTTGGTTTTTGTGCGGACTAGACACTCAATTGTCTAGACACAGAGCCGAGTGATTTATTTGGAGTACGAGTAATATCTGGAGGTGAATTCAACTCAGGTGGATAGAAAGTACCGACAAAAATAATGTTTATGCACTCCTATTAAACAGCCACCATGAGGTAAGCGCCCATTGGTCCATTTGAGGGCTCCGACAGAGGTGTAAATTTACAACGGGTGAAGTGCTTTCCTCCATCCTAGGCAGGTATCTCACCAGCTTAAATCATAAATGCCTAGAAAAGATTTTTGCTGTAGCTCAAAAGACGAATTCTTGTGGTTTTTGGCAAGCTTAGTGTGGTGAATTAAGTTGCAGAGATTGATATCAATTGTGAAGTCAGTCAAAAGCATTTTATCGCTGGGAACGTGCAAAAGCCCAGCTAAACCAAGCGGTCACCTGTTGTAAAGGTCACAAGTATGAACAGAACACCCGATTTTATTGGGACTATAACTGTCGCCTAGCTCAACTGAAACCTCAGTGGTTGCTGCGTGTCAAAAATTACCCACCCAATGACAGTCACTGAGTCCTAGTTTAAGCACAGATGATTGGCTGAATGTAACGACTAATAAATGCTATTAGGGACGTAATCATATATCCCATTTCCACCTCCCAAAGGCGGTCTCGTAATGCGGATGAGAAGAAGAAGGTTTTTCACTGACTAGGAAACTGGAACTACTTGCAGGCTATTTAAGTACAACAACATGTACTTCCTATCACGAGTGGTTTTAAACCGTTTCTTAGGAGAGAGGTCCTTAGGTCAATTCAGGCACCAAAATCACGAGGGGGCGATCAAAATAAACTCTTTAAGGGTGTAGGCAAATCGGCACTCTGAATGTGAGCAGTGAAACTGTCCCTGGAAATGAAGAATTCTCAGTGACAGGACTAGCAAACGACACCGTCTGACCACGAAACAGTTTGTCTCTTAGCCACGATCCATCTTCGTTCAAAGTTACACCGAGCCCTGAACGAGCAATTCACAAATGCTAACAGAAACGCCTTCCTTAAACTAAATCCGACAATTAGTGTAACTTTAGGCAAATCTTTTTACCGAAATGTGTGACTGACCGGTAAGCCCACGATCGCTAACTGTCCCGATTGCCAGGACACTGGACATCTGAACATCGTTCACTGATTGCACGTGCCTTATGTGGGACTTGGGTTACCTCAGGCAGCCACGCTAAGTACCAAGCAGGCATTTCTGGAGGTCATTTGTGCAAACAAATTAAACAAACAAACGAAAGCTAGTAGATTAATTAACACAAACAATCATGTAGTGAACTGTCATCAAACGAGCGTGAGTGAAGCCAATTCACGAGTCGATCAAATTTCATCGATTTTCGATTACAAATAACTTTCGATATTCACTCACGCGCTCTGCTATAGAGGACTTGGGTGGCTAAATGAAAACAAACAATTGTGTTTGCTATTGTCTGTCTGGCCTCTCCTCTCAAGCTGTTACGGACTGTCAACTGGCAGGGATGTAAGGTGGCGCTAACGAAGTCGCTACAGTGAAGATAAGACGTTGTGAAATGCAGCATGCCTACGTTGTCCTCGTCACTTTGAATATCGATCATGTCGTCAAGTTGGATTGCGTCGTTAAATGTGCATCACACGAATGAAACTCTACTAGCACGCTACAGTGGGTTCCGAGCTACATTTTGGTGATATCGGTAGCGTTTAGTGGTCACCCAGGCGATAAAACCCAAGACACAGGTGTGATGCAAATCTAACCACTACAATCTATTCAGGAGGCAATTAAACTCCCACCACAGAAATTGTTTTATTACTCAGGTGCTTGAAAGTATATATTTACACTTTGAAACAACAATGTAGTAGGTGATACACGGAAATGGGAACATGAATTAAATTAATTAAGTTAACCGGCAACCAATCAAACCAGCGGTACTGAGCGATGATGATTGGAGGAAATATAAATGTGTTCAGCATCTACTTCCACTGCTAGGCAAACACGAACTACTTTCTGTGTCATGACCGCGTAGCTCAAGCCAAATGATGTCCATTAAATTGATCTGCTTGTTTCAGGGAGTTGACAACGGTTATTCTTTGCCTGCTGTGGCGATCTTGAGAACGCAAACGCCTTGGCGATACAGGGAAATTTACTGGCTCTGACTAGGTCTGTAAAAAACGTATTCTGAACACAACTAACATGATGACAAATCGGGGTTCTTGAGTTCGAACACTTTTCTGCCAATCAGCAACCAAATATGGCGGCTATCACTTGCACCTTCAAGTAGTTGTACTAATGTTTTGAAGAAAGGTAACACCATCTTTTTTGATCAATGCTCATCTGGGATCAAAGATCAGTTCTGCTAATTTGCCACGTGCCCAGTATGAAACCCCTTCAGACGCACACAAATTGGAATCGTCGTAGTTACACCTCATCTTTAATTATCGCAGTTAAATGAGAAAAGAAGAACAGCAGCAGCAGAAGGCACAGTAAGCGAGAAATGGTACTAGAGGGGTTAGAAGAGACGAAGCACCAACGTGACGAGCGAAATGACGCCTACTCGTCCCAAACGCCCCGCAAGAACGACTCCGCCTGCTCGTCAGTGACAACTGTGATTGGCAGGAAAGGAGTTGAGCTGGACTTTAGGAAGTTCTGCAAGGGAATCACAACAGAGGGGCCCAGTTTAGTAGTCATAACCGCGAAAACACATCCGTGACCACTCGGTGGTTTCGTGTTGCTGTCAAGAAGACTCAGAGACAACTTACGTGAGCATTGGAGAGGGCATTTCGCTTCTCCACAGGGGAGCAGTCCTTGCCAATGTAGACGAAGAGGCCTTGCTTGGAGAGGATCATGTAGACGTCATCCGACTTGATGTCGCTCTTGGCGGCTTTTCCCTCACTCACAACAGTCAACTCCATCTTGCCAGAATCGTAGGAGACCCTAAAGGGCGGTTTCCAAAACATCGGTGTTGGAGAAACTTAGTTTAAAATGTGTGATCAACGCTGTGTACTTAATAACGAAAGACGTAGTCATTTCAAACAAGCTTCTAAAATAGGCAATTTTAAGAAGGTTACCTGTAGAGAGATTTGATGATGTCTTTTGGAGGTTCGTCTACCTCAGACGGTGTGTCGGGCAGAGACGTCCAGAATTCGTGCTAAAGATAAGAAAAAAAAAAACGACTCAGACCCCAAATCACCACGTGGGTTAGCAAAAAAGAACCCATGGTTGCTGGCAACTTGCATCTTTGGGAGTCAAAGACTCTTCGAGGACAGATGTTGAGCAGCGCCCGTTGCGTTTACTCTCGAGGTCCTGCAGGAACGCAGCCGCCTAGAGGTAGAAAGTGAGGAATTAGCCAAATGTTCTAGACACTTCTAGTGCATCTGCAGGAAGCAGAACATCGCCAACTTCTTACGGCGCTCCTCTCGAAGGCCGAGGAAGTGGAGCCGTTGAATTGGTAGGCCCTGGAGCCCAAGTCGAGGATGAAGACGTCACCCGAGTTAACGGAGTTCTTGCTGAAGGTGACCTGTCGCATGTATGTGATCCTGCCCTCCTTGCAGAAATGCAAGAGCCGAGGTCGGTACTCCTCTGGCTTGACTTGGCGGAAACCGGACTCATAGCCACCCTTCAGGATGCTGTGGAATACAAATAAGACCAGCTTCATTTCACAACCTAAGCTGCAATCATGGACTGGTTCTACTTGGTTGGCGCCGAGTTGATTCCATGAGTAAAGGGTCGGGCGATACCTCTAACTGTGTTAATTATACTTTTATTTGCCATGCATGAATCTCTGGGCCAGACAGACGCGCCATACGTCGCATTTAGCGTCCCAAGGTAGAGCGACAAAACCAGAGTTTGTGATTGGTTGAATTTTTAAGGACCCAAAGCGATCAACCAATGGACGTTATGGCAGTGACAGGAAAGATTTCCCATTGGTTACTTGATGTTTTGCGAAATCGATTTCAGCCACCTGGCTTAACTTACAGTGTTAATTAAAATTAGATATGATACTACTGAAGCATATAGGCATGGTCGAAATGGCTTACACAAGCTTGTCGAAGTAGGACTTGAATAGGTCAGACTCGTAGCCTTCAACTTCGCGGTGTTGAATAGCCGCGTCGTCAAGATAAGTGTCTAGTTCAACGGTCTTGTAAGCCGCAGTGCCATATTCATCCTGGAAATAGAAGTAACAGACATGAATATATATATAACGTTTTGTGAGTTAGAAAATGGGAAGTAACTTACGGCGGTGCTGTGTCGACCAATCCAGAAGTGGACGTTGTAGAGGAGTTTGTTCCCATCAGGACTTTTGGTGGCTTTGCAGACGACGTACGAGTCGCCATTATAGAAGTTGCCAATCTCATCTTTCGGCACCACTTCAAGCTTGAATTTCTGCCAATAACACACACCGACAAAAGATTCACAATGCAGTCATATAGCACATAACATCAGATAATTTTGGATTTACGCAACAGCACGTTGGGATTTGTAGTCGCGTTTTCCAACCAATTTGTGGAACCGACCAACAGAAGGGAATCGAAGAAACGACAAAAAAACTCACATTGACGCGCCAGACCATCAAGAAGGGTTGCGTTGCCTTCCCAACAGGTTCCCAGCACTTCTCGGTCATCGCAGACTCCTCTGACAAAAAAAGGAAAACAAAACATCAGTTAATTGACGAAGACACAAGTTTTGGACTAGCTAGAACCAAATTTTCAGAAGGCTAGATGCAGTTAACCATAAACAGCAAGATCGTTTCCACAGACATGCGCACAATCATTTTTAACTACACGGCATACTTTTGACTTGTCTGTCGACAGACGAGCCAAAAAGCTCCATGTTGGAGTCCTTCCAGGCATACTCATCGGGTTTAGTGAGTCCGGACATTAGGGGCGGTGGTAGATCCTAAATACAGCGGTCGCGGTGACGGTCAGACGGCTTCGTCTTGAGCTTTTATGCCATGCCCATCTAAGGCCTGCGCCCACGATTGGCCCAAGCATCACAACCAATGAAACCTCGCCTGGGTTTGGAGGGCATTACGTGCGTGAAGCGTAGTTAGTCCGGAACCAACCAATTGGATTGCGGCGTGAATCACCTGGTGGAGGCAGTTTTTGCTTCATTCGTGGTGGTTTAACTTTACAAAATGTCGCTAAGCTGCCAAAAATTCAGAGCTGTTACGCTTTGATGAGGGGGAGGAGAAAGATAGATTTTCAGCATGTTTACGCTAATTTTGACTTCGAAAAATCGAGAACTCGGGAAAATAACGAAGCCTATCTTTCACGAAAAGAAAACATGAAATGAACACAAAGTGAGAAGGGCTTACTCTTAACGCCCCTGTCCATATCGCTTCCAAAGAGGGCAACATTGGTGTCCTTCCAGTCATAGCACTTGTGTTTAATTAACTTGGACATAGTTTATATGCAAGTGCGCTGGTGACAGTCGTTGTTTCAGTGAATTAAATACCCGCCCGCCGACTCACTTGATTGGTTTCGGTTAGAGGACAAAATTATTGGCCGGAGTTAATTACCTGGCCAATCGGTGACCGAGAGCGGTTCATTACAACGCCACTTGTAATGTAAATTCCACGTAAAGACGCAATTCCGGTTTCAAAGATCAGATTGCACCGTTTGGTGCCGTGATTTTTTCCGTTTAGCTCACATCTGACCGTATGGGGACAATTCAAACGCGGATTACGACAAGATTCTCGACATAGACTACTTATTTCTCTATAGGCGAGTTTACCGCTCAAACCCACAAAGGGGCAGATGTAGTTAATGGTGCTAGAGTAGACGTACTTAAGTTAATGATGGCCACACTGCACTCTGAATGAGATGGATTCGTGATCACATTTCTGTTAAAGGATGCCCCACCACGACAACCCCAAACATTTACTGGAAGCACACAATTAATTCTTCCGTTATCAAATCTGTGGAGTTGGAAAGGCGTTTCTAACGTGAATAGTAGAGCCATAATAAACGGATTAAGGTTTGTGGTGGATTAAAAGCATTCAGCATAGACTTCTAGAAATTAGAAAAAAAAATCAGATGCCTTGTCTTGTAGCGAGAGCAAGATTTGGTAATTAAGAGGGTAAACACGACCACAAACGCGTTCCATTTGGCTTAATTATAGTGCTGGATGGTTTATTTACACATTTAGGAGACAAATTCCGAAGTCACCACATGTTGAACTCACTCTTGACCTCCCTGTCCTGGCTTGAGCCGAAGGCTTCGACATTTGAGTCCTTCCAGTCGTATTCAGTGGGTTTCCTAAGACCAGCCATTTCAACGAGACGCCAAGTGAGCTAAAGCCGGGGGAGTCTACCCGGAGCCGCATTTATATCTCTACTCCAAACGACACCACACGAAAGTGAAAAACCAGCGAATCAGAACGCAACCCCTTGCCTATTGGCTGTGAGAGCTTGAGGAATGACGAATCGAGCAGCAGCTACTGGCGTTAAGAGGACACCATTTCTGGCGCGACACCACATTGGTGTCTTGTTGGCGCGTAGAGTTACACGAGATAGAGAGTGTGCTTAGTCTTAAGTGTATATGTTGCCATGACTAAATTTAGCTCAAAACTCTGTAACAAAGAATGAAGCCATTTAGGTACACACGCTCTTCACGGAGTCGTCTTCTCAAATTACCGCGCAGATTTGTATTCATGTTTGCCGTTGCATAAGATTGGTGCAAGTTAATTAATACCCGCCTGATTAATTAAGTAACGGAGCCTGCTTGAAAGCAGGTTTTAGGGTAAGTAAAAGCGTCGACTAACCTAGAATGAACAAATCTTGCCGCTTACCATTCGTTTTGGCGGTTTCTCAATTTTTATTTGCCGCTCTGTGCCAATGTGCCCGATTTCTGGCACTCAAATAAACCGCCTTCATCCTATTGGTTCGTGGCTCTTTAAACGTGTTGTCCACCTTAATTTCGATAATATTCGTTTAAAGAATACCTACTAGAACTAGCTCTCTTCTCCTTGGCACTAAAATGAGAAACTAGAGTTGTATAAGTTCCTTGAGGTGGCATCTAAGTTACGGTTAAACGATAGACACACCAAACGTGCAAACATTTTGTCGTCAATGTTATCATCAAATCCATGGCAAAATCGGATAAAATGTTTGGTGTAAGAAAGTGGCTCGAAGTCACAGACGCATTGCCACTATGCAGGCAGACTTGTCAGTGTTTGCACTAATGTGCCGCTAGGCGCGCTTTACAGAATGATTGGCTGCCAAACAGGGATTGGTCAGTGCAGCAGTCGATGGGAAAACACCAGAGCACTGAAATTACTGATTCTGAATTATTTCCAAGTCACAGCATCAAATTTTGTCATGTGATTTGACAGTTTTGAAACGGGTTTTGTTGGTGCGGTGTTTGTGCCTGGTGGTGCAATCTATCCGTTAGCACTATGGTCGCTTAGCAGTGGGTAATCTGTTTTACGCACGCGCGCTCGCACACACAAACACACGAGGTAATCGATAGCGTGTAGTGAGTTGTTCCAAGTAGAAGTGACAACAGTCACGAAAACTTCGCTAATCTAGGCAAAATCTTAACACACCTTCATGTATACAAAATTACAAAAAACGTGATTCGTCTCTAAAGGAGTCAATATTTGCGGAATTTGTAGTGTCGTACGTCGTCATCCAATAAAACCCTTTGGCTTACATAGCCATATTTAATTAACAACGTGCATGGATCGTGTTGTTACACTGATGCCTAAACAACGGCTACTTGACCTTGGCTGACCAATCAGAAAGGGACAAACAACAACCACTAAAGATCGCACATTTACCAAAATTCTAGCCGACACAGAAGCACGTAGAGGTAAGTAGTTTTCACCATGACGCATCATGCAAACGAGTGCGTGAAAAAGCAAGTTTTGTGCTTTTGTTATTGCTGACTAATCACCTAAAAACCAAGCGTGTCAGTGAATTTCCGTGGACTTGCAAGTAGCAACACGCAGCTACGCATAAAAACACGGTATATTAATGAGGTGAGCGTTCACCTCATTAACAGGCTACGTCTGTCTTCACAGAAGCAAGGCACGAAGATTCTTACAGGGAGTCTTAAATGATAGACAAATTCCCTATTTGGCTGGATACAATCGTTTTGGGGAAGTATTTGCACCTAAGATATTGTCACAGTTTTAAAATACACTTTTTCGATTTAAATAGTAATAATGATCGCGTCTCTGATTCTGGATGGCAAATCTCCGCCAACTCTATTTGAAGGAACGCAATGAAGATCACCTTCTTTCCATGAACTTGGGTCTAATCCTACAGTGTACTGATCCAACTGCGTGTCAAGGTGCACGAGATCACGTGCTCGGTGGTTGGATCCGTTAACGAGGTCGTGAACCCAAATTCGTTGTCAAGGTATAGTGCGATCCAACTCCCTTTCGATTTTCTAGTGTAGTCGAATTCGTTTCTACTTTCCCCTCCTTCTCATACCTATACAAGGCCACAAAACCACACTGGCACGAAATTAGGGTGCTTGTACCTCGAAAACGGATTCACCACTGCGCTAACCACTCACCGTTTTAACTGGCACAGGTTAAGATCAGATTAAGTACACACAAATCTCGCCATGATTTTAAAAGCAGTTTTTGAACTACACCAAGACTGCATGAAAATACCACGCTTTACGAAGGTATTTCCTATCAATTTATTAGGGATAATTGAGGAGAGAATGGGAATGCAAAAGGTTCATCTCCCGTTTACTATCACATGAACCTTGGCGAGTTTGTTTAAATCGATCAAGCCCGATTGGACGGTTCGTGTCAGTCGCGATATGCACGTTCGAGGGAAATCGATAAAATAGATTTCATGTGAGTGCACATCCGCGCACAAGTCGAGCAGTAGTGTCTGTCGTCGTTAGACGCGTGAATCATTAACACACCGATGGAGTGAGATTAATATGAGGTTTATCATTTTGAAAAGGCTATAACATCGATTTGGTAATATTTGTGTGCAGGCTTAACCTTTACAGGTCAAGCTGCGGCAAATAAAATGTCACGGTAAGCCCATTAACCATTGCTGACTCGGGTGAATGTGCAAATAGCGGGCTAATTTTAGCCAAAAAAATGAAACCGATTGTGCGAGCATTTGATTGGCGATTTAATATAGATTGCAGGTTGCATTTGATTGTCCAGCGATTCATTCATTCCACAAGGAAAATGAGATGATTGGTTGTTTTCACTCTTTTAAATAAACCGCAATGCTGACCAAGTTGCTTGTTTATATCGATTCCGATTAGTGGCGCTTAAGCCAAGAAGGCGGAATGTGTTATTAAAATTCAAAGCAGCAGGCGACGCCATTCCGTGGAGAACAGATTGCCCAAAATTGACGAGATAAGATCAGTGGATGCTTAATATAACGCCTCAAGCCAGTAAATTGAAGGTCACGAACGACTTTCAAAATCTGGGCCTATCTGTGGTGAGAAGTGCTAGAGTGCGGCCATGGATGCGGTTACTCCCCATTCACAGCGTGTCCATGGCTTGTAGCGGGTTAACGGCTATCGCGCTTGAGTGAATCTTGGTTACTGACCTGACGGTGACAATGACTCATCCCCATTTCCATTGGTTACTGCTATCAAATGCCTGTCATCCGTTCACACAACCACACAATCAGACACTAACTTGGCTGGCGTGACGCTGATAAACGGTCGTGTCCTCTGTCGCCTCTATTCTCTCCATTTTTGGATTGTTACGGGCTGTTGACTAGAGTGTTGTAAGGTTGTGCTAAAGCCCAAGCCACCACGGGATCACGTGGGACCATCATGGTCACTTATCTGGCCACTCAGTCGGTCAAAGTAATCGGATTTGGGACCACCTTTTGGGGTATTCAACCCACCGAGGTCCAAGTTCATTGATGATGCTAAGTTCCAAGAATTTACCCTTCGTAGATTGTCACTAGCAAAATTTAGCATTCTTCTGAGAGTAGACAAGTTCCACATGAGGAAGAAGAACTTCAACAAGTTCTTGCGGCTTCAATCCACATTCCTTGGGGGTTGAAAGTAAACATCAGAAATTATAGCTGGGTTGCCTTGGAAACATCTTAGAATGGACAAACTTGTCAGTGGATTGCAGCCGTTTTCGGCATGGTTTGTACCAGTTCAACACGCGTAGACCAACGCCACTAATTCACAATTTACCGCGTTACAGTTGATTTGACGGCTGTTTTAATTCCCATCCACACTGAGTGCCACATTTCATTTGTTAACTGGACGTGCAAAGCGCAAGACGATACAATCCGGCATGTTTACATTTACCATTGGAAATCTCTGGCTTAGTTTTTGTTTAAATATTTGTGATTAAGGATCCTTCGCAGCATATTTTTTTGTTCCAGTTAATTCGGCGTGTCTGTTTGACAGTGGAACAAAGAGATCAGTAAACAAGCGCTGTTTACAACCAGTAACGAATCGCTCTCTTAAAAAAAGGGCAGGTAAGCTGTGTCAAGTTAGTTTCTTGTGAAATGAGTAAGGCGATTCCGATCTAATGCACCCGGATCAAATCGATCCGCGATCCGGTTCAACTTCAGCGCATCGACGAGATCGCCAGTCAACCTCGCGTGTCACGTATTAATGGCGAATTTAGTTAACTTATTTTAGATATACTACTCTTTTGGGAAATAAGTAATGTAGGTCGAGCACGTACGTTATTGCAATCCACACTTACACTAGCCCCGAACTGGCAGATTAGTGAAAACTTACGCACCATTAAGTGGTTAGAATCCATTCATTATCCAGTTATTACCCAAAAATTAACCTACAAACGAGTAATTTCAGTTTGAGGAAGCGACCAATATCGTGGAAATCCATACTCAGGTGGTCTAGTAGGTGTAATAACAATTTTGGTGCTATAAAGTCAGACCGGTGTCACTCTTGATGTCGATAGTTTTGTCAGCGAGGCAGAAATGTAACATGCTACTTACACATATGAGTAAAGGGTATTTGGCAATTTTTTAAATAGGCTGCCAATTTAGTTGTTGAACATTTCGGCTTACATGAGAGATGTGCGACCTACAGAAAGGTTTCACACACAAACATAATCCGGGCCATAACACCAGTGCTTGCTAGGTTAATTCTATTTCGTGCTGTTTTAAGAGGCACGTCGTGAATTTGGATCAAGCCTGGTTAACGTGACATGCTGTGAAAAACCGACAAAATATGTTCTCACGCAGAAGTGTTGAACAAATTAAGGGGATTTCATTGATGCAGTTAAACAACTGTCACATTAATGCCTGAAAAGCATTTTTGAAAAAGTCACGATTAAACGCGTTTTGAAGCCTTAGGAGGTGAAAAAAAGGTTTTTATTGCACGATATTCTGTGCGTGTTGGCACCGCATTTACGGAAACCATCCATTTTATATTTATCAGTCCAAGTCCAATTATATTTTTGTTAAAAAAGCGAAGGCACATGAAAACATGGTCAATATGATGATGGTCTTTAAATCTACCGCCTTGTAATCAATGAATTCAAACAAATGTCGATTTTTTGTATACGTGGTCAAAGTTTTATACAAAATCAAAACGTGATAGCGGTAGAAGGTAAAATCTACATATTTTAAGTAATTGATGAGGTTCAAACAGGAGGAGGGAAGCACAAGCATGCAAGATACGCGGTCCCTTGGTAATTACAGAAAAACTCTAAAAATGGTATAAACTAACTTTGTACATTGCGGTGTGAATCTTGCCCAAACAGGGGCAGATCCTGGTCTTTCCAAGCCCACCGTTTGTTCGCCATCTCGTCTGCTTGAAGAATGGCCAAAAACGGGCGCTAATCACCTCTTTTTGTCCCAAGGTCAAACGCACTCTCACACTCTCTCTCTTCTGGCCTTTAGTGGGAGACCAGTCGAAATGGAGTTTGGTGAAAGGTAGCATCACTTACACGGCAAATTGTGTAAATGCCACGCAAGTTACTGCTCCACCCCCCGGGTGTTTTGGGCCTGGGATGAATCCCACGAAACACCACATACACACACACACGCACCAAAATACCCCTGACCGGTGCCGTTAAATCCACCTCATTGTGTCCAGTGAATTCAAACAAATATCGATATTTTGTGTACAAAATCGAAACGAAGCAGCTGTAGAAGGAAACAACGAGCATATTTTAAGTAATCGATGATGGTCTAAATTTGCACATTGTGGCCACAAATCATCATACACAAACACACACACACACACGACAAAACACCCCCTGACCGAGATCAATTGAACACCCAAAATCGCTCTGTTGAGTGCACAGACAAACACTCAGGACTAAATGTGCAGCCATTTTTAAGATGGCGATCCCCACAATTGGTTAGAAGCTTGGAAATAGCAACCAAAATTTGCCCTGGAGATCAGTGAAATGAAGAATGAAATGACCGATCATTTTCTCACATGGGCAGCTCCTAGTTTTCAGTAAAGCGTTCACTCGCTCGAGTTCAGTTCAAATAAACATTTGCCGCGTTACAGTTGACCTGACGGTTGTTTTAATGCTGATACTGCAAACGATGAATGAAACAACTACCGGCATATTCACTTGAGCGACAGAAGGCACAAAACATTACAAACGAACCCTATTCAACACCTTAAGGTCGTGTGTTTGTGTCCTCGTCGATTCACCTACCAGCACCTCTGGAGCACATGAGGGTACCGTTGGAGCATCAATGCCTCATTTGCTCCAACCGACTGCGGCGGAATGTCGGCATTCTTTCAACGTTCCACCTCGGAGAAGCTGGAGAATGACCGGGGTGAGTTCGTTTTTATTGACATTGCATCTGTTCCAAGCTAACATTCCTAAAACATCTCATGACTTTTGCGTTTATCTAATACGATTGGGCAAAAAATGTAGCATTCGTTTCATTTCACAACTCCTATTGTTCAGTTATGAAGGACATAACTTGTGAGACGATGGTTTGTGCAAATCTAACAGGAACTGATTCACAAAGATCAAATTTTTTAAAAAGCTCATTTTTTAAATCACTAACAGTGCTGTAACTTGAGAGGTTGTGTGAAATTCGATCCACCAATCAGATTATGCTTCAAGGGTCACTTACTCGGCACAAACTCAACTGTTTGTTAACACCGATTGGTGAATAAGACAACTCGTGAGATACTGGGTTGTGTAAATCTAGCACTTGTGTCCGGTTCAAAAAGGTCAAAGCTTTTACAAAAAAGCTCATTTTTAAAATTATCAATGGTGCTGTAACTTGAAAGGTTGTGTGAAAGAGGGACATGGAATTCGATCCACCAATCAGATTCCACTTCCAAGGTCATTTCCTTGTCACAAATTCAACTGTTTGTTAACACCAACTGCAAACATATCTGAACCGCTAATGAGAAAATCGCATGAAGATGCCTGGATAAATGGGGACGTAAACACCGCATTATAATTTATTTTTTCCAAATAGACTGGTCTTTTCCTGCCCTCCATTTAATGTTGAGAATTTTGTCAAATTTCAATCTGTCAATTATCCTTGTGCCCAACCAATCATGAGTCAGTTTGTGGCCAGAAAGATGCTGATCGGTTTCATTTTAAATTCGATATGTAGCTGTTTAATTGAATGCACTGAAGACAGTGCTAGCATGATCTCAAGTTAAGGAATTACATGTTCAATGGGAATTCAAAATTTAAATTTAAAACGAATGTAGTGAAAGCCATCAAAGGAGTGCCTCATGGTGTTTAAATGCGGTGAGAAACGTCAATCAATTGTTGTCACCATGGTTACGTTTAAACCTATGGTTTAATTATAGATTACAGTGATGACGAACAGAGCAGTTCGGATTTACAGGAAAGACGTAAGTCGTTACACATACATTACCACCACATTACCAGCACTCCAAGTAACTGTCCAATGTATCATTAACGATAAGCTACTTAAAAGCATATTAAGTAGTTGATAGGGTACTCGCTGTCTAAGTGATGTGGACAATTCGTGAAGCCATATTTTTCGCATAAGTCAAATAACAACAGACGCAATTTATCCTCAATGTGTTTTGGCTCAAAATCAGTTTACCGTATTGTCAAGGGCACACTACTTAAAAGCCTAGTAAGTAATTGATGCAGGTTCTGACGCGACGTGATGTGGTATCATTTAAAGGCATCCTAACTGGAGTGTGTGAAGAGTTGACTGCCGTAAACTATTGCCCTTTAGGTGAACAAGCATTGCTCGAACCGGCATGGAATCCGGTAAAATCGATAAATAAGGAAGAACTGCTGATTTGGCGGATAGAGGTTGGTTTGATTTGCAGCCGGATCGATAGGTCACATTTGTAGGGTTCAGAAGTGAAGCAGGTAGAGGACAGTGAGTACGGCATCTTCTTCGACGATGCCATCTACATTTTGCTGAAAGCTGCTAACAAACAACGCAAGATTTGCTATGACCTTCACTTCTGGATTCCGCACTCCATGGTTAAAGTACGCTTTTTGAGGAAAATAAAGATTTGCTGTAGACGATTATCACACTATACGAGACATAGAATGTATTTTGTTTAAAATGAATTTTAGTATATCGCCGCAGAGCCCCCTGCAAAGGTTATGGAACTGTCAGCACTTCTACACGATCGGGTCATCTACCACAAGGAAATTGAATACTTTGAGTCGTCCATAGTAAAGCATTACTTCAAAACATTCATGTAAGTTAGATTTCGCTTCTCCTTCATTTTTTTCAAAACACCAAATTTTGTGTACTAGCACGAAATAATGATTGGCTATGGCCAATGGAAAGTCAAATCTCATTGGTTGCGAGTGAACATCGCGATTTTCGCCTTGACGACACCAAATATTGGGCGTGCTAACGAAGCTAGAATTTTACTGAAAATCTCAGTTTTAATATTCCAATTGATTTTGTGTCTGTAGTGTTCTCCACGACGGCGTCGACACAGCCTTCAACGAAAATGACCCCCGGGCCTACAAACCACGATTACTTTTGTTCAAATTGAATAGATCTCGTGGCGAATTGAGACAAGTTCCAGCCTCCAAAAAGGCGCTAAATAGTCACTGCGTTTTTGTTCTCGACACTGGTCGCGAGATGCTTCAGTGGAACGGAAGTTCCTGTAGCGACGAGGAGAGATCGGCGGTAGGTGGAACCAGCCAATCACCTTCTTTGCACAAACTAAGCTCACTAAGTTGCACCGCGCGCTCAACCAGGCCGATCGATAAGACTCGCGCCATGTGCGCAGTGTTGCGTGAAGGTGCCAATTTTTTTCACGACAGATTTCTTTCATGTTTCCACATTAACACTTGAATTCCAGGAGAGTTGGGCCCTGGGAATTTTGAGAGAAGTGCGTTAACCTTCACAAGAAAGGGCTGTACCCTCAACAAGCTCTTTCACCACACCACATTGCACAACTTGTGCTGTGTTTTTTTTTCTTCAGGCTAGCAAGCACATCAATAATTTCCTGGGCCGACGTAAAGGTAAACTGATTCGTGAGTTCTACGATGAAGAAGACCTCTTGAGCTTCGTAAGTAACTCATATTTTTACAGAATTGATTTTTTCATCTAGAAACTTTACGTAGTTTCTTATCCCGCGATATTTGGGGTGATAAAATGCTGGAAACTTCTCATTTGCAGAATCCTTTTACAAGTCTATTGAGCGATGAGCCTGTGGACCCACTGCCGAATCCGCCCAAGGCGTTTGAAAAGGCACTATTGAGGTACTGGCTGACACAAGATTTAGTTGTGTGTGACGTTGAGCTAAAATGTCATTTAATCACTTTGCTTTTCCTGCGTTGCAGGCTTTCAGACGATTCGGGTGCGTTGAAATTGATTCCAGTGTGTAGAGGTCGGATTTCTCACGCCGGACTTGAGCCTACTGATGTCAACTTTGTCGACACGATCGATGGACTGTTCATCTACGTTGGACCAACTGCGTCCAAAAGGGAACGCGAAGGTGCCTGGTCAGAGGCTAGGGTGAGTGCTTGCCAAATGCTACGATTCACGACTATCCAAGCCAATAAGCAGAGGTACACTTAGCGTGTGTCCAATTATGTACGGCTAGGTTCAACTTGGCAGCCAATCAAACTGCTAGTCTTTTTCAAATGAGAACATAAGCCAGTGGGATCGTGCGTGGTCATTGTGTTGGATTTTATGCCATTTACAAATCTATTTGAGGGAAAAGGCAGTGTTTATCGATCGAATTTGGGGATTGTTGAAACGGCAAGTCATTTGGTGTCCTCAGTGCGATTTCTTTTTTCAGAAATACCTATCCAATATGCAGCGTCCATACATGTCGGTGCACTTTCTCAAGGCCGGACAGAAGTCGTATGAGTTTGATGAAATTTGGGATGACTACGAGTAGATTACCGCGCACTGTAGCTGCTCTTTCTCCTTTTTAAGTAATTCTAAGTCCTGAAACTATACCAATGTTCTGGTAAAATAAACTCTCGGTGAATAAGAATGCAATTTTTTGGTTAACGGTTGTTTGATAAACAAATTCTCGTCGTTTGATTGGCTAGAATATGTGGCGTGAGACAGATCCTAACTCCTAACCGAATCTGAGCAAGTTAAAATAGATATTTTGCTTCCATGATGAACTCCATCGAAATCAATACGAATGACCTCCTACGCTGTTTGTTGCAGATCTTGGGGTTCAAAGATATGAAAATTCACGCAGGATTGGAAATGCAATGCCATGGGCTACTTTTAACAGCCATGTTTGGCCGTTGAATGGAGTGCGTCGTTGTGACCTTCCAACTACCAATCAATAGTTCCCTTTCGGGGTCACCATAAAATGACACCGAGACAGTTTCTAAGTGCTTCTTGATAAGATGTTCTTGCTGAATCATGTTGATTCACGTCCATTAGCCCGGTTGTCCCACGACCACCACCACCACCACCTACTTTATCCGTCTGACCGTTGGGACGTTTATACATTTAGCAGCTCATTCAGGCCATATCACGGCCCAAGTTGGTTGAGGTATTTAATGAACGGTTATGCCTCGTCCTCTCCGGTCTTCGTCAACTACGAGGATACCATCGTAGCGTAATCAGTCTCAATTTAACATAGTGGACACGTCGTGATTTGAGACTGCACGTTAGGCCCACAAATTCGAGTATGCTTCAGCAAAGCGAACTAATGACATCATAACAAGAGTTTTTCAAAAGGTAATTGATTAACCTCGTCGTCCGCATGCATAAACATCTCATGGCCTCGCTCCAAAATCAGACCCACACAAGATGTCCGTCTGTGTTTATCGTTTAGTCCTAAAATTGCTTCATACCAATAACGGATCACCAAACATCGTTCACATTGCTGTTGGCATTCATGTTGTAGTTTAATTTAAAAAAATGCGCGCCGGAGAATACTTTGACCAGTTTGTGAGATAAACCGATTGGGTAAGTCATGTTTGGTGTTGGTCACCTTATGTGCATTTGTAAACTTTATTGAGTGTGGAATCTCATGCCGCGTGAATCAAGAATTCACACGAAAACAAAAAAATCGCTGGAATCTCGTGGGAACTTTCACCTCTGGTGAGCTACTTCTACGTTTCCTGAAAAGATGTCAGCTTGTGAACCATCACTTGTGGAATCGAATTAATATGACAGCTACACTCGATGCTAGGATGGACCAATGGGGTGAGACTAAGAAATGCAAATAGTGTGCGCGACAGTGTTTAGGAAGAAAAGTAGGCTGTTAATTAAACACCAAGATGTTTTTTTCTAAAGACAGACTTCTAATCAGATTAGTATTGTATGCATTTGCCGCTGCTACAGGAGTGATTTTGTAAAAATCACATTTCATGCCAAGATGTGATGTAACCTCCAGATTACCCACATGTCGTCTTTGGACTCATCAATATTCTCATTTTATCGAAAGCTAACCTCATATAATGCAAAAAAACAACCGTTAATCAGTTCCCCTAGAAATTTACTTAACAAACAATTAAAACAACCAAGTAGTAAGGCTGTAGTAGTGAAAGATGGTGTTCGGATCGCGTCTGCAAATTTCGAATCGGGCTGATTAGCTCAAACTAGTGCAACTTGACACTGCAAAATAATTTGCTGAAAAGCGAAACTAAGCCAAGGGTGAATTTCGAGAGGACTAGAAAAATTTATTTAACTCGGCTAAATATAGCAAGGAAAAGTGCACAGCCTTCGAATCCATCTTGGTCTATTCTTGGCGATCATCCCAGACCTCATCGTAGCCAGGACAGTAGCTGCCAGCAGTGAAAACGGCGATGGCTTTGTACGGCGTGTTGGCCTCCTTGAGGTATTTCTTCAAGAAAAAATGGAGTAATTTTTTTCAGAATTCCCACCCTTTGCATAAACTACTCCAAGCTATGAACATACATCTGCCTGTGGCCACGCTGAGTTTCGTTCGTTCTCGTTGGCGCCGGGTCCAATGTAGACGTAGAGCAGTCTGAGGGTATCCAAGAAGGTTACGTCGTCTGGATTGATTCCGTTGCGGTAGACTTTTCCAGTGTACACCGGGTTAAGCACCAGTTTCTTTGTTTCATCCGACAGTCTGAAAGCACAGAGTTATTCTGCTTGACAATTTGCATAAATGCGCCAGTCGGTCACTTTGGTGTGTTTTTCTAAGTGTAGACCCCATCGCACATGGTACAAACGTGAGCCCCCGCACACGAGGAAACAATGACGCATTATAACCATCTCGGCCGCGTACCTGAACATCTTCTTCTGGAAGGTCTTCTTGGATAGACGAACTTGGCGAGGTGGTACAGGAGCGTTGCCGAGTTTTGTGTACAGCTCGTTCTGTTGACGAAAAAGAGCGCGTTTTTACGTCTTGAAAGAGCGGTACGTGGTGGGTGAGTCAAAGGCACCCGGGCAGTCACCACACATCTTTTCCAAATTTATTCAAACAGCTACATCGATGGAAGATTGTTTTAAAGACGATTACAATCAGCCAAGGCCGTAAACACGAGTATCACGGGAAATTGCCAACTCGCAAAGATCATTTGCCAGGTACTGCGCAGCGCAATCATGGTGTGAATATGAGTACAGCTATGGTTTGGCAAATTCTTGCAAAGACGACGGATTTTTGTGTCAATTTTGACGAAGATTTATGACTATTTGTGTGCTGGTCTGTTGGTAATTTGTCTGCATAATTTATGACCTCAAAATTAGCAAACTTAATGCCCTGGAAAATGACGTGTGTGAAGCCCGAATGCACATGACTCACTTACCATACAGGGAACAGTTACTACTTACAACATCTAGTAAATCTTCTTCGTCGAAGAATTCTGATGTGCACTTGGTTTTCCGCTGTTTCAGGGCATTTTCGATGTATTTTCTTGCCTAAAAACAGGTACACGAAATATTTGACCAATTAAAACAATGTTTGGAAGGGATTTTAAAAGCGCACAAGAACTTACTGATATGCGTTCCTCGTCGTCGCAACGCGATCCATTCCACTGGATCATTTTTGTGCCCTCGTCCAGGATGTAGACGTCGCCAGATCCGAGAGATTGCCTCGAGATGTGTACTTCGGTGACATTAACTCTCTTGCCGTCCTTCATCAGGTGGAAATGAAGAAGACGTCGACGATAGTTCTGCGGGTTTTCGGGGTCAAAGATTCCGCCATCTCCACCGGAGAAAATTCTGGAATTGCCATGGTTAGAAACATGCAATCAGTCTTCCTGTCTTCGACAAACTAGCCACTCCAATTTTTTACAAATTCACCAAATCAAACCAGGCGCCTCGTCAGGTTTAAAGAGATTGGTCTGTAGGAAAAGTCCAACTCTTATTGGCTAATCCTTTGTCAAGTCATAAATCTAATTGAAGCTTGATGAAGACTAATTGAACCAGCAACTCGCTTGATTAGATGCACTCACAACGCACAAACGCCCACAAGAGGAGACACATTTTGGCTCTGAGACCGCCAAATGTGATTCTCCAACTCGCCTAAGTGGTGTAAAACTGTTAACCACAAAAAATCAAGAACCCTATTTGGCATGTGTTTAACTTCCACAGGCAAAAAACAAGCTCACATTACATTTAAGCATGTTGGATTTAAGGGGTTATAGTGCGACATTAGTAAGAATGCACACGAAAGGCAAGTACATTCACCACCTCATACCCGAAGTCCCGGAAGTACTTCATAAATACAGGTGATTCGTTTTCTTCAATTTCGCGAAAAAGTACAACTTTTCCATCCAAAAGAGCCATCACTTGAGCTACCTTCTCTGGTGGATCTGGACTTGCCTTCTGAATGAAACAAAAATGAAAATTTTTTCATGGTCAGAAATGGTTTAACCAGCTCATGCGCAGATGTCTTTCAACTTGACCAAAGTTGACCAATATTATCGCTGAATTACTGAAGTCGATGATGACTGAATTTGTGGAAATCCGTACACGTATAGCCGTGCAAGAGATGGAGCCAACTTTATAGCACACAAAATAAGTTGTAACTACGCAACTAGAATAGATTTAGAATCTTAGTTTGTGAGCCTATCAGAACCGTAAGCATCAGAAGTGCCCTATGGCTGTCAAAACACGAATTCTTGCAAAAAAACGAAGCACTCACCGCTGCCGCTTCCTTACCCATCCAGAAGTGAAGATTGTAGGCCATTTTTCTGTTGTGGTTGAACGTCTTCAACACAACGTATTTTTGGTCGTTGAAAAAGAATCCAACTTGATCATCTGGCACGGGGATAGCGGGACCCTTGTCCTGCAAAATTTGACAAAAGCCGATCTAGGTTACTTGTAAACGCGAGAATGACTGAAGCCCTGGGAGTAAATGCGTGATTTTGATTTTGAGTAAGATTATCTTATATTTAACGTCACAATCAGGACGTACCGGAAGACGCCAAGCTTTCAGAACCTCATGTTTGATGTCGAGGATTGACTTCCATTCGGGATCATCCATGGCAGATGACTCTGTGAGGAGGGGAACAAAGAAAGGGGTGAGATGATACTGGAGATCTATTGGCTGATTAGAATCGGAGCAATTTTACTGGTCGATAGTGAACTTACTCCTGTTCTCATGGGTTGGCGTTGAGTCCTGTTTGGACAGTTTACGGGTGAAGAAGGACATTTTGCTTGGCAACTATCAGTAGAGGACCGAGTACGAAGAGCAAAGAGGCGTTCACGACGGCGGTTTATAAAGGTGTGCGCAGATGTGAGTGCCAATCGCCTAAACCAATCAGCGACCAGAAGCATTGAAATGAAAACTGATTGATGTTTTGCACGCAGAAAAGAGAATGTCGTAGGTTACCGATGAAGGTGCAGGTTCATAAAGGCGTCGCCTGCTAAGTGATCACCCAATCTAGTTGCTTGGATGCTGATCGATATTCCTGTTTTGGATTCCTAGATGGAGTTATTAAGTGTACTGCTGGAGAAGAAGGCCAGAAGCAACAAATCCGATTAATGGATGTCATTCGTTGGTTGGTGGACTCAACAAATGGAATTTGTAAAAAATATATTTGCAGTCTAGGGCATCGAACCCTAAGGATGTGGTATTTTTCATTGCCTCGAATCACACCTCCAAAAGTGCGTGTTTTTGTAGCTCAACACCGTAGTCACAGGTGATAAAAAGTGGTTTAATCAAATTAGGGCAGGTGAAATGCAAGCCAGGGGTATTGAAATCCTTACATGTTTTCATCTTAAGCCAACGCACTTGGCAGAGAGATCTTGTTAGCAGTACAGACTTCTGGTTGATATCTAGGTAACCAGCAATTGTTAATCTTATTTCCTCCCGGAATCGTAAGTCTTGTAAAGAAATTGTTTGCTCTTTTACGTTTTCGTTTAATATTTTGTCGAAATCGTGAATCGTGCAAGCTTTACACAATTAGTAACCTTAAAAATTGAGTAAAATGCCACTGATTGTCAAAATCTGCTAGGTCAAATGAAAGAACTAAAGCAATTTGTCAAAATAATTAGGCACCTCAGGTGAAGTTTAAGGTCGTGGTTAAATAAAAGAGACTTGGTTCTGAGTCAGCATTGACGAATCAGTAGCTGAGTTGGACAAATCAGGAATTTCCGGAAATTCAGAGAAGCGGTGAACAAAGATGACCAATCAGTGCTCAATAAGAAAATCAATATCGCCGTAGCGCGGCAACTTCTATTTGATCAATTCAAGTGATGGTGACTGAAGACTAGTGCACTTCTAACTATGTACATGGAAAGGAACCTGGTGTCAGTGGAATAGCAAAAATGCTGTCTGGTTGTCTGTCTTTTACTAAGCTCCCTCCATCTAACCTCTGCGCGGACTTGTGGAATCAAGGTGAATGATCAGTTGAAAAGCCTCCGGTTTACACACACAGCAAGCGAATTCGCATGCAAATTAACCGTGCGCACGCATTTCGTCAATCATACGCTAACCCAGTTATCGGCCGGAGCGATCTGAGTTGGTAAATAATATTTACATAGAATTAGCATCCAGTGAGATTGTAAGAAGCGTGTGAGTCATCGGTTAGCGGGGCTTAACGAAAAATCGTTTTGCGGTGAGCTGTGTACTCAACTATCCCGAAGGATCACCCCCCATTGGTGTTTGAGCACGACTGGGACGATTGGCTGATCTCCAAACCACGTGGATAGATGTTTGAGCATGGAAGTTAACTCGTGTTTTGTACACAACATGGCATAGCTAGTCTGAAGCAGTTCTTGAGTCAACATCATACCGGCGTCAATTTGACTGACTTTCACGCGAGATATCTGCATGTGTGTGGTCCTTGAAGTGGTCCAATCAACCACAGAAGGTGTTTTTACTGTCAAAAGGTTCCATCCAATAGGCAACAATCTGGAAGATTTCCGAGGATGTGGAATACCATTGTGGTGAATCGTGTTGATTCACGTCCAGTAACTCGGTCATTTCAGCCTTACACACACGTCCCCCTTTTCACGGCGTTCCCGTTAGCCACTGAGACCGCCTGCTCATTCACCCCTCTGTATGTACCACCACCACGACCACCCGTTTTGTCCACGTGACCATTCAGACTTCAGCATTTTTACTAGTTAACTCAACTGTTTCAGTCAACATATCACAACCGCGTACAGCTGTTTAGTTAACGGTTGTGCCTAGTCCTCTCTGGTCTTTGTGGACACTAAGTTTAGCGTAGTCGGGCTAGATTGACTCAGTGGTCCCGACGTGGTTCAAGACCACATGCTGTGATCCACACCGTTTCCGTTCGTGGCTTTAAAAACGACCACTTTGGTGAGACAGCCTTTGCACGTTCTGTTGACAAAACAATACATTATAAAAGAGTGTGTTTTTAAATTCTCAAAGGCTGTTACGTGGTGGGTGAGTCAGAAGCACCCGGGCAGTTACCGCAATCATTGTGTGTCAATTTCAACGAAGAATCACGCCGACTTGTGTGCTGGTCTGTTCGGAACTTGTCTGCGTAATTTACGACCTCAGAATTAGCAAATTTAATGCCCTGGAATATGACTCGTGTGTGTGAGGGCCTGAATGCGCATGACTCATTCTTCATTTGATCCATCGTTGAGTCAGCTCATTTGGGATGACCGTGAGTCGACAAATGCACCAGTTGGCAGTACCACTGCTTTCGCTGCCTCACGATAACATGTTACAGTGAACTGATTCTCTGACTGAATTCATGTACCTGTTATGAAGCGTCGTGGATTGTGTGAGTGTGGTGAATCATTTGGGGTTGGCACTAACGAAAGTGTGATTTAACGATCTGCCCTAAATGAAGTAGGCTTCTACCTAATCTCTCTTGGCAAGTGGTGTGTTGTGCACACTAGACTAGACTACGATCATAACCTGAGTAGGATCCGGTATTCTGAGAGCGTTGACTGCGGCATTTAATAACCCATGCAGGTATATCTTTTTGTGATTATATTAGTCCGGTAGCCGCGAGTGAAAATTAGAATGTACCTCGATTTCAAGCGTGTCCACCGAGCGAAGACGTGGCAGGCTGACCTTCAGACCAAAATGGCGCGCGTTATTGGAATGACATACTTAAAGTAGTCAATAAAGTTGTTACCACACGCAAAGGAGTTGGTTGGGGAAGCCCGGTGGATACGTAGAGGTGAAATTGGTGATCCAAAATTGCATCGATAACTTAATTTCCTTATTACCAGATTTGTAACGTGGGACTCATTAGAAAATCGTTTGTGCGTTCAAGGTCGCTACCTGATGGGACAGAACAGTGCACCATACACAAGTTTTGTGCTGCTATAAACGATATCCATATGGCTTTGAGCTGAACTGCACGATCATTTAATCAGGAATAGTAAACACATGCAAAACTTCAAACCGAAAATTCTAAGGAAAAGGTTTGGAAATTACTAACTACGTTTTTGTTGTAAGTAAATATAATTGTACAATATAAATCACGCCAATAATCGCTACCGCCACCGCTGTTGGTGAACCCGTTACAACACGATTTGGATCTGACATCGAAAATGATGATGATGATATGTGTTGCCAATAACAAAAGGTTGTTCTGCCGCAAGTAAGGTGCCGTTGGTAAATCTGGATTACTGCTTCGACCTTGAGGTGCGCAGAATCTGAGATTCATTGATAGCACACGTGGAAATTTGTTGCATAGCCCTTTCTGCAGCCCAGGTACGGTTAATTGTCGTTCTAGTAATGTTCGGGTACACGTTCATCTGCAATAGACGTTAAAAGCACGTGGATTGCGCTCATAAAATACGCACGCAAACCTTCCTGCATTTTGATTGGCCGCAGCAGCAAATCAATTTGAAAGCCGCGCCAAATGAACTTGACGCGTTTTCACTCACGTGGGAGCCCTCCAAATTTGCAGCGACGTTTTGTCAGAGGCGGAGTACAGCACGACTGCGGAGGACCTACAACCGATTCTCCAATTTCGCATAATTTCTAATGACATCTCCTTGCTCAAAACCGGTAAGAAAACGAATATAAATTTAAGGAAAATTTATGATTAACATGAGTCATGCTAAATTTTGCGTTTCGAAATGTAAAAAAACCATCCCTGTATTTTTATACTCTTTTAGATTACACTAAAATGTCACCGGGTTTTTGTGTGAGAAAGTTAAAAATCCCCGAGGAATTAGTCATGAATGAATTTCACGTTCGTTTTTAGATAAGACACCGGGATTCCAAGTGGTCGTGGGTGGTTCTTGTTGCTTCCTTATGCATGCAACTTCTGTGCGATGGAACTATCAGCGGCTACGGCGTGGTGTACGCTGGTTTCACCAATGACAGTCACTTCCTCAAGGCCAACTACACCGAGCACCAATTGGCGCTGCCTGGTGCCATCCAGTCGTGTCTCTACATCACTGCTAGTACGTTCATCTACTGATGCAGGCAATTTGAGGGAGCAGCCAAAAATCCACTGAGGGGGTGGTTTTGAGTGTGATTTGTCAGTACTCAGATTTTATCGGTGGGAAATATTTTTTAATCTGATTGGTCAGTTCACGTTCCAATCTTCAAAAGGTGGTCATGCGAAGCACCAGTAACGGTGACAGTATGCTTGTGTGCAATACCCGAGCCATAGTATGAAGAAGACTGGTTCAAGAGAACAGGCTTTATTGACCAATCACAAGCCAGGACCACGCATCAGGCGCCGTCTATCCGTTTCCCTCTCTGGTTGGCTGCATATCTTCATCGCATGCCATTGGAAGGCAAAGAGACAGAGGATTGGCTAAGACCGGCATGTTTCAATATGGCTGCGCCCATATACATCGCTAAGTTTGAACAAGAAAATGATCCCACATTTCACTAAGGCACCGTTAGGTCATAAGCAAAATGACGAAATTAAGGCAAAACACACTTCTCAAATGGTCGTTTCGGCCCAGTGAAACCAAACAACCGGCTGATTCAGTGACTTGTTTCACTTTTAGTGGGTCTTGCCAGTCCATTGGTAAACTTGCTGGGATTTCAGTGGGTTGCATGTGCTGGCGGTTTGTTAGCAGGTCTCGCAATGACAGTTGCCAGTTTCTTTGACAACATCACATGGATCGTTGTATTCTATGGATTCTTCTCTGGTAAGACAGCGGTTTGGCTTTTCTACTTCTGTTTCATTAATAGCACGTTCAGCACTCTTTGTTTAATTAAGCGGTTTTTGTCCGCGCGAAAAAATAGCATGCTTTTTGCACATAATTCTTGCAAACGTGGGCTAACTTGACCCAAACCTTGCAAAACAAGAAGCTGACCACTCAATCAAACATTCTTTTATGTACAAAACACATTGACAGAAGCAGCTACGACGTATTCAACCAAAAACCAGACTTTGTTGGATTAATTGCTTCTTAGGCCTGGGATTAGGCGCTGTCTGCATCTGTGCCGTAGTCTCGGTAACGTATTACTTTGAGAAATACCGTGGAATAGCCTCCGGGATAGCAGCGTCAGGCAACGGCCTTGGGTACATCTTGGTTCCACTGCTGTTGAATTTCCTTACTGGCGACCAGGGCGAGGATGGTGTGTGGAGACACGCGGTCCTCATCTACTCCCTCGTCGTTGCCGGTGTGATCTTCACGCTGGCCTTAATGCTGAGACCAATTGAAATTGAGGCTCCGACTCTTCAAGAAATCCTCGATATCGAAGAGATGCTGATTGTTTCCTCCCAAACCACACTGCATCAGTCCTCAAGCAAAGCTCCGAAAACCACGAAATCTGCACTAGAACCAATCAAGGAATCGGAAACCTTAATTGTTAAGGTAGCCATTATTTGAGTATGATTTTGTGGGTTAAGTCCGTTGGTATCAAAATGCCTGCCCTACAGCATTTATTGATTTGATTAAACCGTGGTTTTTAGTAAACAAAAAAGGTAGATATTTACGTTTCCTGAACTGGTTATGTTTGATTTGTGGTAGTTCGGGCTAAATTGTAATTCAGGAAAACGAAAAATGCGTGATGCGAGGCAGATAGCATTAGGTCGTGAAGTTCCGTATGGACATATCTTTGACGTGAGCTATACCGTCAGAGTAAGGATCTGGGAATAATATGACGATTTTGTTCATTCATGGTCCTCCAATGATATTCACGAGTCGAGTGGCACTGACCAATCAGAGGACAGATATCTTACAACGACAGTGGTAACCAATTAAGTATCGGGAGTTAGAGGAATAAAGTGCATCATTTTAGCATTGTTGATTGCCTTGAATAATTCAGGAATGAGAATTAGGTTTCGCAAAATTTCAAATTGGTTTTTCTGTGAAGTGCTTACCACGAATAGACAATGGACCAATTTAGTGACTTTTTACTCTGGATATAAGGCTGCTTGTAAGTATTGCTGATGCTGGCATCGATTTTGCAGCCAGAAAGAAGCCCTCCAGGCGAGCAGGAGACGGCGTCAACGGAAATATTTGCGTCTGCACCAACAATCTTGGGAGGCCAATTATCTCATGAACAAAGGTTGCAATTCAGTCGACTGTGGAATCGACCAACTGTTGGCGAGGGATCTTTTCCAGCTTCCGATGGAGATGTTGAGCAAACCCTTTTGACGAAACCTTCAACGTCAGGTTAGAGTTTCGGAATGTTGACTTTGATCACTTGCCCCAAATAACGACAAACGTACTACTGATGACATCCATTTTCTATGTTCCTTGAGATTGAAACACTAATCTCTCTCTCTCACTAGCTTGGATATGACATCTTCATCTGCCAAAAACTGTTTCTTTTGTGCATTAAGTTACGAATGGCGATAAAAATGGCCCATCAATCCACACGAGCAATCCTGATGGTCTGGGACACTTTCGTCTCCAACCGAGCTACCTCCATTCGAAGGTGTCGACGACCAGTGCAGTCGCGAAGCCACTTTCACGACCAGACGGTTTCTTTCTGTCGAGTCTTAAGAGTCTACGGAACCTCGATCGTAGCATCTCTGTCGTTCAAATGGACGTTAACACACAGCTGCAGTTGCTCGAGAAGCAAGCCACCTTCTCGGATATTTGTCCCACCATTGTCGCATCCCCGGACGATGCCATTCGGAGCTCTGAATCGCTCGGACCTGTGTCTTCTAAGGGCATGGACAAGGTCTCCTTCAAGCAGCGACTTGTTCGGATGCTCGATTTGAGCCTCTTTTGCAACTACGCATTCCTCGTGCTAGCAGCTTCGTTCACTTTCTGCCAGCTGGCGTACTTCGTGCCCTTTGTGTACTTCTTCAGTTTTGTGCTGGAATCGGGTCTTTCGAGGGGCAGTGCAATGTTGTTGATAACCATTCTAGGTGGGTTCATTTCTTATATGACCTTAATCACAACTCTCTTCAGGCATTCTTCATACTTTTGGAAGGCTCTTCGGTGGGGCCTCGGCCAATATTCCAAAGGTTGATATCGTTCTGATCGCCTCAGCATCGTGCCTACTCTGTGCCGCCTGCCATCTTGCTCTGCCCTTCTTGCCCACATACTTCAGCGTTCTGGCGGTATATTCTGCGTCGTTTGGCTTCTTGTGTGGTAGGTAGCCTTTAATTTGGTGTCTTTAAGTTGGCCTTCTTCGATTTGATTTTTCACATCACTGCACACCTTGATCTGGACCGCAAACGCTCCTGCTTAAGCCCTTGAAAGTAAAGACACCGGTCCCATTTATTCTGCTGCCTTTCAGGTGTGCCGTGTCCAACACAGCCTCTGCTGTTCGTTCGATTCCTTGGACTCGGAAGACTGACGATGGCTTTTGGCTACGCAAGCATCCTTAAAGGTTTGGCGGCGGCTGTTGGACCAATCATTGCTGGTAGGTATTTTGGTCGTGGACCTGAAAGCCTAACACCTTGATCGGATCTCCACACACTCTCTCTGCTTCAGCCTACGTCAAGGACGCCACTGGAAGTCTCCATGGCGTGTTCTACTGGTGTGGTGGATGTTTTGCCATGTCAGGACTGCTTCTCTTCCTGGTCTATATTCCAATCACCGGCGTGAAAAATGGCGGCTGTCACAGACGAGCCCGAAAGTCTCACGATGGGTAGCTAGATTTGAATGTAGAAAGATAGAAAGACAACTTCTACAATTAGCGCCTAACCCCTTTTTATAGTTACCTCCAAAATCAGCTTCTTTTTGCACTAAATATGACTTGTTATTGCGCGGTGTATTCAACGGTCTAGTGCAATGAGGACATCGGATTTATTTAAAACTGCCATCTGTTTCCTGCTGCATCAATTAACCAAAGCACACCTATTAGGCAGAATGGTGTTCCCATTTGCTTTCCTTTCAAATGACCCTAAATTCGCAGAATTGAGGATGTGATTACCTCGTGTCTTAGACAAGGATACCACATGGCGTACATTACAATAGGAGATAAAATTTGAAAAGGTGGCGTGTCAGAGAAATTCACGCAAACTACCAGGCTTACGGGGAGTGCATAATTGACCATAACGGAGGTAATCCAAATTTTCAGGTAAAATCACGTTTGTAAAAAGACTAAAAATTTAGATCAAATATATTATTGTGGCCAATGGGGACTATGATTAGCCAAGTTTAGACTAAGCAAAAGTAAGCGTAAAAAATTAAAATATTACTAAGCATTTTAGTCAGGAGAAGGTTATTTTAGTCTAGAACTGTGGCTTTAGAGGATACTAGACCTTTTCCTCGCTGCCATCGGTACCTCTAATCTTAGATGTTAGAGTATATGTGTGAAGCTTACCAGTGGCTAGATAATTTCAACATTACGCTGACATATTTCATCAGCGTTAATTCTGTGTAATTTATTGGGTTATCGCCACATAATACATAGATTAGCTGTCCAAATTAGAAATTAGAAAACAGGTTGAGGAAAGTTATAAGCGGCGAGAGGAGGCATAGACGGATATGATTTTTTGATGCGAAACTCTATGTAATTTTATATTACATATAAGATTTGACCAACTGCCTCTCATTAAAACAACCAGTGAAGTATGAAAAGCACAGACAGCACACATACATTGTGTTTTTAATAACAAAGCGACTTAATAATAACAAAACCGATGTTTATGTATCTTAACAGGTAGCATACCACCTTACCGATTATTTAAAACTATAGCACATTGCGACAAATTTAAACCAAACTTTAAGCCCCCTTTTTGCCTTAAAAGGTGCATACTGTAATCGTACTACCATTTAAGTATGTGAAATTATTAAAACGAGTTTAGCAAAAAATAGTATTTAACAAGCAACTTAAACATTTATATAAGATAATTTTATATAATAGCTCATTTAGTGGTACATGTTTCCGCTCAAGTAGTTTTGATTTGCTAAATTTGGTTCGATGAAGGAACAAAGGAACACAAAACACCTGACTTTACAGTAGCTAATATTTACCCTGCAAGAAAAGTGAAACATCTGCGCCAATACTTATATTAACACAAGGTTAAAATAGATCTTAGAGCTATTATGGCGCCAAATATTGTAAATAGTAGCTTTACTTATCTGTATCGATTTAAGTTGGGCACTAATTCCCCTAAAGTAAAGCCTGGGTTAGTCACAAATTTTCGTAAGGGCCACATTGAAGGCGTGCCTGGACTAATTGTTTAACAAGGTTTTGAAATCGGTTTAGGCTTTGCAAAATCAACAAAAATACTAAGGGAAAGTCAACATTATATGAACAAACATACGCTCCACACTAGCACCACAATTTTATTTTGATTAATGAATCCAGACGATTTTATGAAATCACTTAAATATCATCAAACAACTTTTTTAATTTTAAACATATCAAAAAATGCAAGACAGCTTAACATCGTAGCCAGTTAATAAGCTTTGTTTGAATAAATAACAGCAACAGGTTTTAACCTTAAACCCAGTCAGTAGGATCAAATCGCACGAACGATAATAGCTGACGTATAATTTCAGCCTGCAGGTATTTCGTGGATCTTGATTTTATTTCAGCAGGGTTTCTATTTGTTTCTTAAAATATTTAAAACCTGCTGAATTGTTTATTCTGCGTAAATATGTGAACCTTAATGGTCTTTACTACGAACAAGTTCAAACAACTCAACTAATTTTACATTATTTGTGGTAGAAATGATAGACAATTTAAAATGAGATGTGTCATCAGTAATAATCTGTATAAAAATAGTTGACAATGTCTAACTGTTTTCTTGCAGTTATGTGAGTGCGTTTGAGAGTTTGCGAGATTTTAATTATAATAATAATAATACAACTCCTTTTTACCGTATTTTTAGGCGGGCTTCTAGAGTTTTCATCAGTGGCTTTTAAATATTTGCAACTTATTGTAGAATATTTATTCTCCTGCAATTCATTTTGGCGGAAGCATGTTTTTTAGTTTTTTTTTCTTTGGTCTTCAATAATTTGATAAAATGCACTAACCGCAATTCTTTAAACCAGTTTCTGTTATAAGATTTACTTTAAAGACATCTTTAACACTTTTTAAATTACCTCTGGCATCAAAAAGGTTTTACTTCTGTTGTATGATAGATTTTCAAGGAAATGATCCACCCAAAAAATTACATGTGTGTCGGTTAGAAATCATGTTTAATCTTAGCTTCCTCAATTTTCCATTGATGTTTTTTATTTATCATTGTAACTTGGTTTTTAAAGAAATAGCCCTTAATTTAACCAGCTTAGCGTTTTCTAGGATGAATTCCCGCCCCTTAGATGAGGTCGCTCCCAGCTATCAGAATCTTTCAGAAAGTCTGCAAAAGGTTGGAAGCAGTAATTTTTTAAAGGGCCAAATTGACCAAATTGAGCAGCTTTTAAAGAACACTGACAAATTCACTCTATTTTGGGGATCCATACTACTCTGCCTATCTATTGTGCTGCTCCTGACTTTGGTCTGCTGGTTCGGATGCAAAAGGTATAATTTTGCACTTTTAAAAATCTTTGGTTTTGTTTGAAAGTAAAACAGCAGATTTCCAGAGTTTAGGTGTCAACAAGCTTACGCTGACTTTTGGAATTAATGATACACAATATTGGACAATACATATTCTAGTTCCCTAGCCATCCAGAGCAAGGATTTAATAACAGTGACAAATGTGTCACTTGGACCAATTTTTGACATCACGGTTTGCCGCTGTTGGTAGGACAACCTCGCCAAATAGATTCGAGCAAAACGCACTGAATTTTGAATTTTTGTCTTTAAATAGCCTCTACCATGCAGTTGAACTGTAAAACCGACATTAGTACCAGTGTGACCCAACATTAATACCTAAACTTGTCCATCCGAAAACGGGACAAAAAAAGCTTGATTCAATTTTTTAGATGTCGGACAGATTGGAGACAAGGTCCAATTGTGTAAAGGAACTTTAATTTCAATGCTTTTGTTTCCAAAGTTAGGGAATCGCTTATTTAATAAAAACAACATATGCTTTTTAGACGACGTCGACTTAGCAAGAAAAAAGCCAAAATGTATAGCCTGATTGCGAGTTCAGAAGGTGAAAGTGCCAGTTTTTTCAATCCCGGACTAACAGCATTCAAAGAAGGTGAAGAAGAAGACGTCGAAGAAAGCAAACCAATTCAAAAATCGTACCATAAAATATGAATGCATTTCTGGCTAAATTCCAAGTATACCCTGGATTTTAATACTGGCGTTTCCACGGATGATGACTTAAATGTGATGTCACGTTTTTATGACGGTTGTTTTGTGAAATTAAATGGTGCCTTTACAAATCCATGAAGCAATAAGCATTATAAAATAAGTTATATTTATTGTGATTAAATAATCTTTCATATCCGTGCGAAATTTGTGTATAGAAGCAATTAGAGACATTAACTACATGTGTTTTCGATAGTTTTAATTTAATAGCACTTTGGATGACAAACGTCAAGAAAGGATTTGTCACGTTTGTGTAGTAATTATGCAAAGTTTGTTACAACTGACGCCTGAGAATTGTCGGCATGCGATAAGCGTCCTGATTGCGCCACCACATGTTCGATGCACAATCAGGGGATGTTATAGGCTCAGCTCATATCCTGTAAGAAAGTCCATTGGTTTCTTAAATAGAGAAGCATTTCACTACAGAAACTGTCCCCGACCTCATCATGTAATCAGTTCCTTTTCTGTTGTTGGTCAGACGCAAAACATTGGGCGTGAGGTTAGCTTCCTCCTAAGCATCACGTGTTTTTCCCCGTTTCTACGAGAGGAACATTCACATGACATTCATTTGTCGAGTTCCGTATTCATTCGTTGTCCCTGACCGAATCGATTTAAACTTTGACCTTGTGACTACAACCTAACTCACAGAGTCGTCAATTTAATTGGGCCTAAGCGTGACCTATTGCTATGACAATGACAATCTCTTCATTATAATGCAATGTTGAAAGTTGTGAATTGCCTTTAAGACTAAATCGTATATTTGATTGGCTATCGAAATATTTGAACATAACTCATCAGATATCAAGGCCGGATGACCGGTTAGTATCATCGGCTTCCGAGAATGTGATGGTCCAAAGTTTAATCCAACTCTCAACTAGCTGTTGTTGAAATTCAACAGCATGCTTTAATTTTTAGAATTTTATCTTTTATCCCTTCCAGGCTACCAAACTGGGGTATCGTAAGAAATACAATAGAATTTGTTAGAAAATTAGTGCTTTGTGAATCACGGCTAAATTTTTACAAAACACAGGCCTTCTCACAACACCATTGGGTTAATAATTAGCTTACCCCGAAACGGAATTCCACAAGTTTGCATACTAATTTGGCCTACGGCAAATATTATCAGAGCTTGCCCCAGGCATTTAAAAATGATAATTACGTTTAAATAAAGATATGAGAAAATAACTACAGGGAGTCTGCGCTGGTTATTAGTTGCTATTGGGGGATCGAAATATCATCCCTTCGATTAATTACCTCGATTTTCAGGTTAACAAGTAGCAAGTCTAATCGATCGTTAAACTCATGTTAGCGAAGGGGGAACCGAATTGTCCACTTTCTTAATGATCCAGTAGCCTAGTCACGTATTTAAGGCCTCGTATCATCTTGTGACATTACTCTGAAGGCCTTTGTAACGTAATTGTAAACGTAGATTGCGAAAATCCTACATCCTAGTCCCTAACTAATGCCACCATCTGTTTGCAGGAAAGGTTTCAATTTGGGTAGTGCCCAACAAAAGCACCTGAATTGCTTCACCCAAATTCTTGTTTTTCTAGGCACGCGTGACCTTGAGAATATTTTGCTCATTTGGCCAATCGGTTGGAAAAGGTTTTGATTAACACTTCGTCTCCATGTTTCCAGTTGGAGGAGTAGACAATTAAAAGAGGTGGTTTAGTAGCTGTTCACTCAAAACAAAAAAACGTCTGCTGTCTTCTAAACAAGGCTATTCACATTTAATCGCCGGAAGTAGAGGCAAGGGGAGTTACTATTTAGTGGCAAACATTTTGGATCTGCGATCGGTGGGGAGGGGGTCTTTGGTGGGAAAATTTTTGCAAAAACGACACATTGATGGAGTTTTTTTGACAAACCACAGTCCTATCTGTGCACTCGTAAGGTCATGCTGCGTTCCCAGGACTCGTCTTTTCTTGAACTACATCGTGTGTGGACTCTTGACCAGTAATTTGGTCAGCTCACCAAGTAGTTTGACACAGTAGCTTTGAGAGTGGCCATTTAGCTAGCAAAAACGAGTTGCCCAACTGCCTGAGAAGCAACGTGATTGGGTGTTTTGCTGATTCGCTGTCAAGGCTAAGTGCGAAAAATTCTCCGAATCGAAGTGAATTTCCGCATATCTGATGACAAACACACAAGTCAAAATGTACCATCTGAACAACGCTAGATGAAGGGTCAAGGGACGCGTACAATTTGGGTCGACGGAAGGTCATAACGCACAGAAGGCGCACACAGCCTGACGGCAATAATCAAACAAGTGCTACCAACACGAGTTCTGGTGCTAAGGTAATCACAGCAGGTAGAAAACACGCTTGTTCGAAGGTCGACAGGGTCTTGTGCTTTAATCTTGCACTTCCACTTTCGATTGAGGAAGTGCAAGCACACCTTTGCATTCCTCCAGCAGCCTTGCACAGTGATTTTGAGTGCATACAAGGCAAGAATCTAAATAAATTTGCAGCTCCAAAAGCGGTGATAATTCTCGATATCGCGTCGCTAATATTTCACTTTGTGTTTAAGAAGAATTTTAACGAATCGACTTGGCAGGTTGCTCTGAGAGCATAGGCAGAAAAACAGCACACTGGCAGTGACTAGTATGTGGCTACTTAGATCTCTATGGTCAGTCGATGCTTCACCCACGAGAAGGACAAAGTGAAAGAGCGAAAGATGTGATGGAAACGCAGGTGAGCGAATTGAAAAGAAAACACAGTGGCACCGATCGTCCAGTGATTTCGCCTGACTCGAACTTGATGTCATCTCCGATGGTTTCATGTGCATCTTCACAGAAATCGGTTTGACGTGGGGTCGATTAGCAGGAAACACACATCACCTAGCATGGGATTCCCTCAAATACTGGCTTGTATGCATCTCGCGGGGTTAGCGTGAGTACATGAAACTTGCCACAACAGGACGTAGGCTTCAGCCTCGAAATCGTCTTTGCTCAGAATAGACGCATTTCACGGATAATCCGGAAATTCAACGTCAAGATCCATACTGGTTCCTGGTATCGAGTTGGGGTCAGGACAATTGGACAGGCTAACTGACTGACTGCGGTGACTGCTAGAACAAATTGAATACAATTACCGAACAGATGTGGCTTTGTTGTAGACAGGATGAGCAGATGGTTTTCACGCCGCCGTTTCATTGTCTGAATCAGTAAACAGAGACGGCTAAAAGCTTCGTTGTCGGTGAGATAAGTTGTATCACCAAGTTCTTTCATAAACTTCGAACTGGTAAGTACAGAAACCCGACACTAGCAACAATAATTCATGATAAAAAAACGCGCCACAAAGTCTAAGGTCAAGCTTTTACATACCTTCAAAGACCACCCTAATTAATATTCCACCTGTAACCAATCAAATCCCATGCAATCTAATCCCACATTTATATTTAACAGGCGTTTAATATTTGCAAATTCGATTTCAATTTGGGTTTTGAATTCACATCGAATACTTAATTTTTTTGAACATGAGGTCATGCATGCGCTGGCCCCACTGCACTCAATCGAGGTGTTAAATAAAATCATTCAGCGAATCTCCAGGCCACCAAATGAATTTTGAATGGTTAATTTGAAAAGGGAATTAGCACCATTTAAAAGCACACTACCCGAGATTTGTCAATAATTACTGAGGTTGAACTGCCACTGACTTGAATCAGATTCAAGGTAGCGATTTCAGAATTGAATTGAAGAATTTGTAGCCGTGAGTTATATTTAACAAACGTCAATTCGCGTGGTGCTTATAACTAAGACATCAGTCCGTATGTAAGATGGCGCAGAGCTGTAATATTAAACAATTTTAAATAGAAGTGCTAACGTCTACAGCACATTGCGGGACCTCGATTTAGTTGAGTATAAAATGAGTGTAAATGCCATCTGCTTTAAATCTTTCAGTACCACATAAATAATATGCACAAAAACAACAGTTCGCCCCCTATTTCGTTCGTCCTGGAATTGAAAAAATATGGAGATCTATAATCATGGTAGGAAACCAGCTTATTCAGGTCTGACTAAACTGTCTCGATCTGGCAGTGGTAGCAAATGCTTCAGAAATTTAAAAAAACGGTGTCAAAGGAAACAGAAATGCACTTTCTACTGTTCCATTGTCGACAATGACCCCGACTCCCCTGGCTTACTTCAGTGACGACCCTCAACAGAACTCAACCTTTTACCCTTACTTTATCCGCAACCGTGACCACCTCGAATCCGATCTCAGCACTCGCTTCGATGATATTCTTGCGCTAGCTGTGTCCCACCCTGTACCCTCCACAGGCAGCACAAGTATTTGCGAATAAACCACAACACGTTTCTGGGTTTAACTTGGGGTTCCTATAAATACAGACCCAATGCGGGCGATAAACGAGCCGTAGAAGCATTTACCATAAATAATTGCAGAAGTGGAGCAGGGAAAGAGCACCGTCTTAAAAAATGTCCTTTAATTTACATATACTAGTTCATCACGATGTTTAGCGAGCCACAAACTAGATGGAAATAGATTTTGCATTTTCGTCCGTTGAGGACATCTCAATCGCCAGTACAAAAAGAAAATCAGATAACAAACTACCACCACCTTAGGTGCCTAATAACCAGCCAAACGATGTGTTTTTACGGTCTCTGATACACTTGCTTTTTCTGCTAACACAAAGTCGTCACACAAGAGAATGAGGGTAAAAATGACCTTAGAAACTATATTGGACATCATTAGAGCAGAAAAACCAAAGAAATTATAAGACACTAAAAAGAGCGTGCCTTTATTCGTTACAACTTTTTACAAAATTCATCAAATATTTGCCACCTGATTTTGCAGCAGACTTTTCGGGCTCTTCTTCTCTGTCTAAACGTATAGGAAGGTTTCCAGAGGGACTAAGAGAACCCTCCGACGAGCATCCAAGGCCAGCGTGGCGGTTGCGTGAGGACTTGTGCTCGAGACCTTCAACAAACTGTCGCTCAAGGTTTTCGCCTATTTTTTGGACATTAACGCCAGCCCGTGTGTGTGTAACCACTTCTTCTCCAGCTTTGGTGCAGCTGGATTGTTTCTGGTGTTTTTTTGCGCCCATCAAACGCAAAAACTTTTCTTTGCGATCTTTAGAGTCGAATTTGACATCTTCCCAGGCGTTAGCAGAATGAACACCGGCATCACCTGTGCTTGAACCCTTTTTTTCGCCTTGTCTTCTTTCACTTTTGTGCTTGTGTTTGTGTTTAGATGATGGCTCGCTAGCTCTACGCTCCTTTTTTTCATCCTTTTTAGCTTTGCCCATCGACAGACACCTTCGGCTGAAGAGTATATAAACGTCGAAACACCCAATCAGATTTTGACCTCCAAGTCTTTCACTACACTAACATTTGCAACAACTCAAATAAAACTGTTAAAAATCCCAAAGCTATAAAATAAAAATAAAATTATTTTAACCCAGAAATAGGTAGAAAACAATTTTACACATTAAAATTACACATCTCTAACAAAAATAGCAGAATCAAAATAATGCAATTACTGCTGTTTTTAGCCAATCAATGCAGAGGACGTAAGGGTAGCATGCTGGACCTCGTTGTCCATTTGAAAGCGATGCGCCTTTGTGGTTGCGTTGTGAGCTGATTTTTTTCTATTCGCGCAGTAGTTTTGCACAGCCTAACGACTATCATGACAGGGTAATTTCCAACAGAAAGGTTTTTTCGCAACTTGAAAATTTTTTTTCCTAACCAGTCGCAAAAATATTTTTGCCGTCTTAGTTTCTATAATTTAACCTTAATTTATCTTCACAGTGGTAGCGTGTCGTCTGTTAGCTTCCTTTAAATTAGTCTTAATTACTTCTATTCCATGCTTGTCAGCTTTCGTGCTGTGGTTCTTAACTTATTTTTATTGTCATCGATTCACTACTTTTCAGCATTCCGTTTACTGACCTGGTTGACGAGGAATATGTTGCTTCGTTCGCTAGTGCTGGCTCTTTCGACGGTCCCACTTCACTCGACGAATTTGCACAGAAGCACTTCAGCGCATCAAAACCTTTAAAAAATTCGATTAGAAAGCTCAACCTACCTGTTAATCATCCCGTTAGACGGCAGCTGTGGCCCTATTTGCTAAGTCGTTGCTATGGGACTTCACTCAAGGTACGTTTTAAATTTGTGATCATCTTGATTTGTAGTTCATAGCTACTAAATCTGACAAGAGGTGTTTTTATTTACCTAGATTATTTATAAATGGTCTGTTGAGTTTGCGCTTTCGTCTATTTTTGTGCAGTATTTCGAAATTCCCCACCTCCTATTTCTTAAAAAAATTACTGCGAATATCCAAGGGTAGTCATTGGCTATCAGTTGCGTTTCACGAGTGGTTATCGATGCTTCTTGCTAACTTTCTGCCAAGTGAATTTACTGAAACAAGCCACAGCACCTACAAAATAGTTCTTGCTTTCGGAACTATATCCAATTGTTATAAAGACGCCTAAAAACTCGCAGTTGCTGTATGAGTTCTCTTTACTGCTTAACAGCTCTGACCACAATGTGTTTGGTCATTATCGAGGCACAGTTTCGTGTCTTTGTGTCATTTCACAATCTATCTGCTATCCGTATTTAAACCACCATAGTGTGCGCTCCATTGTTTATCTCGTTGTTTATACATCGGTGGTGCGTTACTTTACTGTTTTCTTTGATGAATTTTCAAATTTTGGTTCCACATACATTGTGCGGACAAAATGTACATGCCTCTTTCATGTCACACGTGTTTTTTCCCATAATTTGATCTGGCAACTTTGTGCATTCTGAGCCAGCCGTGTATTCTGCCACCGTCGGAGCGCGCGGCCCGTCAAATTACCACGGTGCGTTTTGCAGATGCACCGCGCCTTCCCACCACTGCCTCCTCCTCCTCACCCAAATTAGTTTCACAGCCAAATTTCGGGTGTATTTTTTGATACCTACGTGACGACACTGTCTTTTACTAATTATTCTTGCTGTTATTCACGGCTCTTTCCAACTCATGTTCAAGCCTTCAGACAGAGTTAGAAATCTGATCGGTGTAGTACTTGGCAATTGCACACCCTGGCACAGCTTCACTCACGTGTAGCTGATGCTGGTGAAAATAAAAATGTCACGTTTACGACCTTGAAGGCGTGATTTTGCGCCCGGGGTCAATCGCAATGTTCGGTCCAATGACAAATTATCAAATTACTTTATTTTCCAACTGATATCCACAATAAGCCGTGGCGAATGTACCCCCGCTGTTGCCAATCGAGTGGAACCAATGTTTTGGTGTAAGCGTAGCGTGTTAGTGGATTATAGCACAATAGTTTACCGGCAACGCCGTTTTGAGGGTCTGTGTTTGGATATGAACCTTCTGCGTTGCCCTCGTTGTCGTCACCCCATACAGTCAACTTTGGTTTTTGTGCCGGAAATCCTTGTCCCATTTGCGTGCTAGTGTCTGGCGTGTCTGACATTTCGCATGTTTAGTAAGCCACTCCGATTAGCTGCATGCGTTCTGTTTATGTGAACCATTGTGCGTGTTAGCCAAATTGGTCCTTAGTGTTACTGCATCGCTTAGAGCTACAAATAACCCCCTATTTTCCCATGCTGGAACTAAGTTTTGCAGAAGAATTTGCGAACTTTTCTAGTTGGCGCAGCATTTTTCAGTATCAATTTTGATGTGTCTGATCCAATATCTAACTTTCAGAAAGATAGCATTGTAATGATTTGGAGTTAAAAACTGACGGTAGGTTGCTTGATGGTGTTCAGTTGGACTAAACTAGTGTTTCACCATTTCACCAGATTCCAACCAATGAGAACGCGGCGACCCAATCGGACAACGGGGCCCCAGCTCCCTCGCCGATTCAACAATCTCTGCTGGTGGGGTACGAGCTGGCGGACCGACGGCTGCAGTCCACTTACCACCTCAATAGCCGCGGCAAAGCTATCCACCTTTCGCTGCTTCACGAGGTATCTGTCGCGCGTCCGCAGATTGTGTACGCACCGCAATCCTGGCCAATCCTTGCTCTTCTCCTGCACTACCTTCGACCGAGAGAGGCCTTGGCTTGTCTCAACGCCCTCCTCGACCAATCCGGCATGATCTCTCAATCGAAGGGCGAGTGGCGGGGTCGTTGTCTGGCTCTGGAACAACTCGGCGCTGCGGGATTCCCGAAAAAGAAGCTTTTCATGCGACTGCCGCACAATGAGGCGGCTCGGAACCAATTAGCCGTCTGGCCAGTTGCTATCTGGGACTTTCCCTTCGAGTGTCTCGTCCCAATTCTCGATTGCTACCTGGTCGAGGGCACGAAGGTTCTCTTTCGCGTGGGACTTGTGGTAGGTAGCGGTTCTGGTTACTTTTGTCCAATCAAGTACTCGTGGTTGGTTTGTTTTAAGTGACTTTTACGTTCGGCTAGTGCACGCACCTATTTAACCCCTGTTGTACCAGAATGCTTCGTCTACTTACTGTGTTCATTTTATGATAAAAATGGCATCGAATTTACCGCTTAGGTTTCAATTACCGGAGGTGTAGGATGTTTTTGTGTGAAAAGGTTTTCCACCAAATGTGTTTTTCCCATAAATTGTGCGTTTGTGGTCATGTTTTTGAGAACCAAGAAAGGTTCGTGTGTATTTACAGATCCGAGAGATTATGAGATGTGTCTACACAGCTGCGCAGTCAGGAATCAGAGAGTGAATGCAATCCGATCACTTGTGAACCGTGGAGATAGTCGTTGAATTGACAAAATTCACCTATATGCATTCGGGGAATAACAACCACCGGAAATATGACATTTTTGGCCAATCTCAGACCCTCTACTTGTCGTGCCGTTATCTTCTACCTGTCGTGGAAGTTATCTTTGGCGTTTTTGTCGCTTTGCGTTGAATCAGGTGATCACGTCGACACCATTAGTTGTTGGAGTCTTGATTAGGCACTTTCAATTTCCTGAGGTGACGGTAACAACCGTTTCTAATTAATGGCGATCTTGGCCATGTCGTTTTTCGATTGGGTGTAAGTGTAGCATCGTCGTCTCAGTACGACCAGACGGTGAAAAAGTAAGGACGCAAAGGGAACGACACGTCTACCCGTGGGCAGGTTTGAGGTGGGGTGAGTCATCCAGTGTAGAAACGAGGCTATGGGAGACAGCGAAGTGGAGGCTGGTGGGTGAGGCGGGGGGGGGCGGCGAAGTACAGAGACAAGTTGAGAAGCGGCAATGACGTGATTGCGGCCGCTAACTGGCAACCCATCTGTGTTCCCACAAGCCATGCTGTCAACGGCGTGAGTTCTATCCTCCGTGTTCCCCCCAAATCCGCGCTCAACAGCAGTCTAAAACAAACTGAATGAAACCAGTTACTCAGCCTACGCTTTTTTTAACATCTCGTAGGAGTGCTGCGAAGTAGTCGTCATTGGCTTTCACAACGCGCCAGTGGTGTTCATGAAAATATGTTATTGAACCTAGTTCTTCCGTGTGCTCAGCCAATTTATATAATCGTAGCTGCATCCCGTTTGTGTGTGTAGCATCGGTACCGTGGCACACGTCGCAAACGACGACAAAGATCTTACTTACGGACGCTCATCTTTCCTCTCCTTACGTCAGATATCTGCTCGATCAGGCGTCGCGTCAGTGGGTTATTGTGTCAGTCAACCACGGGAGGTAGGGGCCTACCAGTTTGTACACGCTTTCTCCACACTCAGCTCAATTCACACCCATTCGTGGCAATTCATTTTCGGAAAAATTCCACCCTTCTACCATCTGAAGTTGGCTTCATCGACAGTCACAATCAGTGGGGCCTACGTATGCTCATGGTTTGGTCGATTTTGTCCCCCCTCGCTACAAAAATTTTTTAAAAAATTTTTGCAGATCTACGGACGGGGCTTAAATTAATAGTTGGGTCAAGTCTTCAGACATGGCAACCTATCATTAATTTGTTTGATGTCGTGTGACTCCATGCTTGAATAGCTGTCAATATAATCTGGGTAGATTCCGGGAATATTGGCATCGTTTCACATCGCGGTGTTTCTGCATTCATTCGACTCACAAATGCCTCCGCTTGTCTGGTCTTAATTGGCGAAGCAACGGGAATGAGTTTGATGTCACAAGTGACAACTACTACACTCTTATTGGTTAGTTGCCAGTACAGCTGAGTATGAGATGAAGCAAAAGACTCTAAAGAGAAGTCGCCTTTTTCTCTTGCCTGTTCCCTGTTATGAGATGTCGCGCGCTACGTGTTTTCTGAAATTGCCGGGTGATTCGCGCGTCGCCTTCTGGGGTGAAGTGACTCACGAATATTTGCCGGTTAATGAGTTCACATGGTTGGGCTATTCATTGCCCGTCATCCGAGATTTTGTGAAGGAAAAAAAGGAAAAACCACTACAAAGTTTTATGGCTTACCGGAAATGGCACACATGTGTGTGCGTGCGTGCGTGCGTGCGTGCGTGCGTGCCTTCGTGTTCCCCTCTTGCTTGCAGCACATTCCACTTTATTTTCCCATTTGAACACCGAATCATCAAGTATTTGGCGGTGCTTTTTTTAGTCGCGTCTGAAAGGCATGCAGTGTTGTCGGTGTTGCCGAGTTTAATTTCGCCACCTACAGCTGCTGCTGCTGCTGCTACTGGTCCGTACGCACTGTGTTCTGTTCGGGGCTGTCGAGTGGACCAGACGTGTTTACTACCATGACGATTCGATGCTGGTTAGCTAGCTCAAAGTCGACGGACACTACCAGTTATAATTGGCCAGTTTGACGACTTCAAAGCTGACATTTTGTGCAAATTATTGACTACTGGTTTAGTGAGTTACGTGGTTAGCTTAACGGTAAAAAGGTCGTGACATATTTAAGGCACCAGTAATTTTAACCGCTCAGTGGGTGGCCGTGGTTGGTGGAGCCATGAGTTGGCACGCGTGACGACGCTTCAAACAAACAGATTCTTGTAAGCTCGTTTTGGTTGTTATGTGTGTGTGTGTGTGTGTGTGTGTGTGTGTGTGTGTGTGTGTGACAATTAATCTGTCTGTATGTCTTGCTCTGTTATGTTTATTTTGGTTATCATTAAACTCAGTATGTCGAGCAGAATTCAACGTGAAACTTGGTAATTACGGTTTGTCGTGTAAATTGCATCTGGCCAAAGGCTCTAATTGTAGATCGCACTAGCTTGGCCAGCTGGCTGGTATGATTGCCAATTTATTGAGTCGTTTCTTTGATTGTTCGACAGGTTTTATCTGGTGTTTTGGTTGGTTTTCAGCAAATATTGAATCTGATTGGTTCAGATTTTAACTACCCTTATTCCCGAAATGTGTTTGGCTAGCTTTGTGTAGGTCATTTGCTGGTGCTGCAGTAGATGGTTAGCCAGTGGATCCTATTGGGCTATCGACTGGTTTTGTGAGAGACTATTGGCTAATTCATTTGAAAATTTGATTAGTTGCATCTAAATTGGAATATTTTATTTGATGTACAAATATACTGGCTTGATATCAAGTTTATCTGCATCCATTCCCACTAAATCGCATTTCGTGCTTCTAGTTAAACACTTTTACTGCGTAATGCGCTTTAAAAATCGAGTCCAAGTGAAGTTCTATGCATTTCGTCATTGGGCGAGTGTTCGGTATCAGTCGATATTGGAATCATTAGGTACCGCGGTGGATTAGGGGAGCGTGTTGGCCCTCACAACATCCCCCTATCCTCCACAAAAACTCATTTCCACGAACAATTGGTTGGTTTGATGGGACGGCATGCTCGTGTCACGAAGCATTGTCCAAACGGTTGGCAGAACCCCCAACTTGTCCATCATTGTCTGATGTGCAGTTGGTGTTACGTGCGTCCCTCTGCCCTGTAGCTCTGGAATTTGGCAATGAAGGCGACTCCGGAAAAGACGTTGGACGCTGTGGATGTCGGCGCATTGCTCAAATCCGCCGCCTCCAATTACCCTCCAACCAACGCAAGTGGGCTGCTCAAGAAGGCCTTCAGAATACGCGGGCTGTCACGGCGCCACATTACCAGTGCCGTCGATAAGGCCATGAACTTCTGTCAAGGTGAGGGGGTGGCTTCTGTACACTTTAATAGTGTTTGCTAGTCTGAGTTTAACTCCCATCTGTGTCTCCACTGTGTAGCCTGCTTTTTTAGTGTTGTGTTAGTCAATTCGCTACTCACTCTGGCTTCTGAGAACTGATATTCCGCTTTTTTCACGGAATATCAGATTGTGTCAGGCATTTAGTTTTTGATTATTCCACGATCGACATGCTGTTTGCAAGATTGGAGTGTCGTGGACACAAAGGGTAAGCACCTCCTAACCTCCTATCTACTCCAACTCTTTCCTTCAACAGGGTAAGGATGAGTCACATCTGAACGGTAAGGCTGATCCTGCTGCTGTTGCCTAGCATTCTCTAACTACACTAAAACACCAAGTGAGATACCTGTTCCGCTGTTGCCTGCTTTTTCCGGTTGCTTTGTAAACAAACCGAGGTTCTACGAATGCTTTTTTTGCATTGTAATTTCTCCGTTAACCATCCGAGGTCCCTTATGATGTACGAAACAGAAGTTGATGCGATGTTTAGGCGTTGTTTATAGACAGGCCATGGTAAATTAAGTCGAAAGTTTTGGACGATTGAATGTGGTGCCACATCGCCTTTACAATTCCGGAGGAAGTTGTGTGCATTGTTGCCAAAGTAAATATGCTAGAAGTTGCTCACGTTGAAGCTGGCTCTAGTTGCAAAGGTTTTATTGGTCGTATCATTAAAAAGCTTTTGCGAATGTGCTGCAGGCCTGGTTGGTTGTATTGAGGCCTTAAGGGAACCAGTTTGTCGAGTCTGATTTATTCGCGCTAATCCAAAATTGCTCACTCAAATTTCAGGGCCTGTTAACCCAATTAAACCGAAAGGCGTTGCTTTTTAACTTGCCCTAAACCCGTGCAATTTTTACAGTTCCAAACGCTGGTCTGGAATTGGTGGACTCGCTTGTGGTGCCGTGCGTCCTCCCGGGCCAGCGAACCTACACCGCGTACAGCCAAGTGAAAGCGGAATTCGCGGCTAAGGGTGAAATAGCCCGCGCCAGTCTTCGATCTGCCAAGGCCACCGCCACCGCGTCTAGTCTAGCTACTTCCGACGAAATCCTTGCCCTCATAGGTGCGATTAAGGATGAGAATTTAGCCCAGCTTTGCACCCCCACCGTTATCTTTTCTAGCGAGCACGACGGCGTCAGTCTGCAGACCCTTTTCGGACACTGCGCGGCTCACGCGCGTGCCACGGGTCACCCCGAGACCATAATTCTCATTCGAACAGGTTCTGGTGCGGGTCTCGTCGGGGCCTATTGTTCGAAACTCTGGGCGGCCGGCAGTGAGTGGTCCTTCTACGGCAACGGCGATTCGTTCCTGTTTCGGCTTCGACCAAGTCCAGCCGTCTTCTACAAGTGGGATAGGGAGGCTGGCGTGGAGAAATTTCAGCGAGCAACGAACACCTTCATCGAGGTGGGTGGTGGCCTAGATTCGGGACCAGCGGGACTAAGACTCGACGCGAATTTGGAACAAGGCGACTCGGGCTGCAGTCCGACTTTCGCAAGTGACTGCCTGATTACCGCAGACGAGGATAGGATCCAGGTGGGAAACGTCAACGGGAAGGTCTTTTGCAGTTTCAAGATTTCCGCAGTAGAGGTGATGGGATTCATGCCGGTGCCGACGTGATTGCTGGCCATCCTTATGATGCTTATGTGCTTGCCCTTGTGTATGCGTGCTTCATCCGTTTTAGCGTGGCAATGTCTTCTCTAATTTCATTTCTCTGCAGATATTTTTAATACAGCCCGATTCACTTTTCGCATTCACCTTCCCTCGGGATTCGTAGCGGAGTCCGCGATGTAAAGTTGCTCGACATGTTGCATACCCTTCGTCTGTCGGTTGGTTGGGCAGTTGTGGGTCGTGGGTTGCATTTAGTAATGCTTGAGCGTTCTTTACGTCAGAATATGCCAAGTGAGTTGGCTGAAGGTGTAATCCTTGTATGCGTACAAGGACCTTGCTTGGACTTAGACCATCCATTGACTTGCATGAAACACTGCAAACTGGCACCAATATCTCCTAAATAGCTGTCAATTGCGGTGTGTAGCTATTCAACTGACTCATGACCATGACATATCTAGGGAACTGGGACAACTTCTTAGTCGACTACTTAAGTTCGTAAATATATATATTTTAGTAAAACGTGAAATAAACCACAATTGGTTTCTAAATTGAAAGTAGTGGGATTTGCGCGGCTTAGCCCAATTTCTCGTTAAGAAAAATAGCGGCTTGGATATGTTGATAAAAGCCAAATCAAAGCCTTTTGTACAAATGCAGCACTGTTAAATATAAAGGTAATTAGTTTTTGTGTCAGGAAACTGTAAACGCATAAAATAATGTTCGAAAGCATATAAAGCGCAAGTAATTAAAGAATCAAAACAACGGACAAGATAGATGGTACTAGGTGCATCAAAAAGATACTACAGAGATATTCAGCCTACACAGCATATAGCCGGAAGAAAATTGAGTGCACTGCCAGGTGTGAAGTGGTTAATACCAGTTTCCTTTGGCTTCGAGATATCGCAAACTTCGAGATTAGGAAAGTTTGCAAAAACATTTAAAGAAAAATGGATTAAACTTTCTAGATTTTTTCAGAGGTAGCAATTGTTTAATAAGGAGTTGCTGGTTTATTTCTGGATATTACCATTATTACGCAGATTTTGCAAAGAAAATCAACACAATTAAGCAAATCCGTTGACTATTATACAAAAAATAAGTCATTCCAAAATTGTAGTAATTATAATTTGTCCCTGAAATATTGGACTCATAATTCAATGCCAGTGAGCATTTGTGGCAATTGTGAAATCATCAAATTAGGCGACGACCTATGGGAAAACGGAATCGTCAATTTCAAATTATACAGTTTCTAACTCTGTTTTCTGTAAGTAAATTATTAAGTATCGAAAAACAGGCCTTTTAACGCATTCCAAATTCCGTTTAACATGCAACACCAGAACCACGAATTTGCGCGATTCTGTTGTTAGCATTTCTTACGCACGCACTTTTGACGTGTGATTGCCATAATGGTTGTCGAGGTTTGTGCATTCTGTACACAATTGGCAAGGTACTGATAACGCATCTGTTAATAAATTTATGCTAAATTATGCATATTTTGTTTTCTTATTTAATTTAGCTTTTATTTGACCAAAAAACTTAAAAATTAATTAAATTTCTTAAAATTTTGTTTAACGAGTTCAATGAAACGTATTAAAAAACGGGGCGCTTCTACCTCGAGAACCGGTTGTCACGTGCTCGGCTTTGCACACTTTCACTCTTTCGACTTCGATCGGTCATAAGGCTATGGTAAAATAGGTGCTTATTACGACAATATAATTTCACTGCTGAGTGTTAGTGTTTCAAGAGACAGAGGTAAATTTTGTCGTTTGCAATGTTGCCATGATTTGTTGGACTTTTAGATAAATTTCTGTCTGGTACCTAAATATTTTCCTACATTTCCTGTGTATTTTGGTATCTGCGCAACTAGATGTGGTATGTATGTATTGTATGTACTGAGCTGTGATGACGGCTGTTGGTGATTAACTAGCAAATTAAGATTATTTATCACTAGTTCCCAGAAGCTACGTATTTTTTGAAGACTTATGCTGCACTTTAACAGTTAGTAAAAATACGTCTAGAGCAGTGGTCTTGAGCACCCTTAAATTAGATTTTACATGCGGTACAACTGAGTGTAGAAAGTCGTTGCCATAATTTTGGTTTACCATATTCTATCTCACTACTAGCAGACGTTTTGTTCATTCTTTGAAATTTTTTACGTGGTTTAAATGTAATAGCATTTACATTTATATGTATATAATTTAAAAATCAAACAGGGCATGTTTAATGGCAAATCAGCACCTCTGACATGAAATTTTGGCGTATGTTACGGATTCATATCTTTAATTTATTGCAGGTCTGTCATGTGACAGCACTCGCAAGATTTGCCAAATCGAATTGAAATGAAAAAATGCGGGTGCAAGTTCGGGAATTTGTGAACTTACCACGCTTCAAATTCTTAAAATCCTGGAAGACCATTTGCCTCAGTTTTGTTATGTGTAACGCAAAGGATATTGCCACTTGATTTAAGGGCAATCGGTCGAACTACCACCTGCCAATTAAAAGGCCACAATTTTTGTGTAAACTAAGGATTGGTGATATGGCCTTCACGTTTGCTTATTTACCTGAAAGCCTAAGTCAGTGGATTGTAGATGTAGTGAAAATTCCTGGTGCTAATGTGTCGATATTCCCTCTAATTAAATTCCGCATTTGTCATGTTAGATGTTCCTTATACAAACTTGAACGTCAGCCCCTAAATTTTAAGAAACTAATTTAATTTGCCTGTCTAAGCACAATTTTTAAACGAACAATTTAATCCTTGCAAAAAGTTAGAAGGTTCTATTTAAAGACAAAAAAGTATTCAAAGCAGGTGAAACAGATGGTTGAAAGTGTGTACTACAAATCAGATAAAGCAAACAGTAACGCGTAAGTTAGAATTCCAAGAGCTGAGACTAAGTTGATGTTGATTCCTTAGAAGTTGGCGCCTGTTTGCATTGCTTCCGGTAACAAGTATATCCGTGTGGACACTGCCTGCAACTCTCTCCAACTTCGTACGTTTTCTGCGGTGGCACAGTTTCACTACAAAGGTTTTACTTTGGAAATGGCAAATTGTTACGACAATAAGGCGTCATCCGAATTACTTTTAGGAAATGTTAATGCTAAGTGCAAGGTGACTGCGTCCACGTCCACTGCTACCGATATTGACATATAATTGGCAAACAAACATGACGTGGAATGTGAAGTGTGCGTGATATGCCCTCTTTTGTTCTTGAAAAGCATGCTATCCAATACCTGACAAAGTCAAATTTAAGCAACATTTGTGGTGGCACATTCACATCGTAAGGATTCCATGATTTAAATCAACAACCAGATACGGCAGTGTTGTGTCACTAGACGTAGATTGAACAAATATCTCATTCCTGTCGTTGGCTAGGTTTGATTCAAGGCCTAACCAACTTACCGATCAGAATTAATGTGGACAAGAAAAAGCACTTGGCAATACATGCGATTAAAATAACCAACCCTGGTTTGTAGAGACATCCAACGAGATAATTGGACTGGCCAGAAAGTCCGCAAAAGTGAATTGCGCACCCGACTTCCGTCGATTGTGCCCACAACATCTAAGAATTCGAGGGTAGGAAAGTGATTAATTGGGTGATTGAAAGATTCCATGTTGTCAGTGGCGCAAGAGGTGGTGCTTTAATGTGTAAGTGCTCTTCCTAACTCAAAGTTTCGATGCTCACAACAAAACAACAACTTGCGTTAATCAATGGCAGGTTACCAGAAAAATATGGCATTTTGTAAGCATGGAACATGGTTCCTCTCTACATGGTAGTTTACAGCATATTTTCAGATGCATTTAACCTTAATCACCACTCCACAAAGTGAGAAAGAGGCTTGGTGGAACTGGACAACCCAACGAAGTATTAATGTGTGGGTGTCAATCAGAATTGTGCAACTCACCTTCCTATAACTCTGGCAGAAAGCGAACTGGAGATGTTGAGAATCGCAGAGATATGCGTTAGATTGAACATCTTGGAGATATTGCAAGACGGTAGGCTTGTGGGGAGAGTACGTCTTGATCATCATTGCAGTACCATTGAATTCAGTGTCAACACTTGGATCAGGATATTTGCCGAGACAGCGAGACAAATAGCGCTCTGCCATCTGCTCCAACTCGACTGAGTAATTCTAAAGTGAGCAGACAAAAATGTCTTTTTTGGTGGATTAGCTCGATGTGTCTTATGTACAAACGGGCATGGTGTTCAACAAAATCAACTATTAGAAACAGCGTTGTATGTGTGTTCGTTTGATTAGGCACACGTGAGACTAAAGGCCAAGTACGAAAAACAAACCAGGAGCATCATGTTGCTGGCAGGAGGCTGGACGTTCTCGCGTAGTTGTGTGAGATATTGGAGAGCCGCGTCGCGTTCATCAGTGGTTAAGCATTGCACGCTCCCAAGCCACAAAACAGACAGTAAGGAGATGAGTTTCTGCATTGTCTACAAAATATGGTTACACTGTTAGTGACTTGTCTTTAGTTGGATTTCGTTGAATAGTAGTAGAAGTTGACAGAAAGAAACATGTAAATGATGCTGTTTAGTGCTCTGATTGACCTTATATAGTCTGGTGCAGTCAGATTGGCTTACTGCCACATAGGCACAAATACACGCACAAAGGAACCTTAAAATTACACTCAAGCACTTCGATTAAAGTGCGCTTAATGCAAAATATTGTTAAGAGGTCCATGGAACATGGGTTATTGGATTTACGTTCAAGTGAATTTCGTTTGATAATCGGCATGACTAAGAAAAAAGAACTTGTCACCCACACTGATGAGTGAGCCAATTGGCTAGATGCAGGCTGGTGCCACCCAATTGGCGCGATTAAGTATCTTGCGATTAAATCAGATTGTTAGATATCACGTATCAGATTAGCTTATTTCTGTGTGGCATGAAGTTCTGAAGCACAGAACGGATCTTCATTTGCTGCCATTAATTTGATGTGAGTGCATTAACTGAGAAAAGCAACAAATTCGGAGATTGAAGTATCGAAATGGGGCACTGAAGCACCAGCCCTTTCACCAGACAAGTTTAGGGCTCAAACACGTCAGCATTGTTCAGGGTTAAGTGAAGACAGCATACCCAGGAAAAGCTAAAGTTTGGTTTTTTATACCCTGTTGAGTCAACATGCAGAGAATTTGTTCCAGGAGTGTAACAGTTGTTTTAGAGTTAAGTGTTGATGTCCTAAACCAACACCTGTGCACGGAATTTGGTGACCCCTATTCTTCCAGTTAGATCGCATGTTTGAAATCACCTGAAATGTGATTCACAACAATGAAGACGCAGACAATCAGCCATAGGCACGTTTGATTTCTCAAGACGAAGAAGCTAAGCATGTAATCAATGGTTACAATGCGTGTGAGCTTAGTCACGTGGTTTCAGTGCGACTAGGGGAATCAAAACTGTACGGAATATTGTGCTTGTTGTAATTGAGATCAGCAAGCACCTCTTACCCTGTCACCTTGCCCAAGTTGCAAATATTTATTGTGGGACTTTGACTGGCTAACAGCCGTTCATAGTACGCCATTATTCAAGTCACTTTTGCCTAATTATTGGCCTGTTAGTACACTTCACGGCTTTACATTTATTCCTCTCATGGACTCATTGACAACACCGAAATTCGTTTAGAACAACACCATGACGGATTGACATGCGGGTGTTGGGGAGTTCAACATTCGCTGGGACCATTCAATCCACATTGAGATTTGTGACATCTACTTGCTCATCAATGTCGACACAATTGCAACTTTTCATCGTCATTCGTTTTAACGATAGGTCAAGACAAAAACCAGGTCAAGTTGTGAAGCTCGAGGATTTGCATCGACACACCCGGTAGAACGCAACAATCGGTGGCGCAGGTGTGATAGGAGATCAAAGGGTGTAAGCAGTTTCTCGAGAGGCATCTGTCGATCCTGGCAACGCACTGGAGTTTTCTTCATCCATGCAGGCCGTTTCTCTTAGTGTGTCGTTAATTGGCAACAAAATCAACAATATCACGGAGATTGTCTAAGATCTGGAAAGCAGGTAACGTTTGTATCGTAGAATTATCGCTTCGATGACTTGCGACATGCCTTATAACGAACAGAGATTTTCAAACATATTCCTCACTAATAGAGTGCTTGTCATTTTACACCTGTAGGGATATTTGAAATGTTAGTAAAAATCCACACAACACAGCTCCTGCAGTTGGATGATGAATAAAAGATAGACCAATGATGCAAAACCAATCTTAGAAGTTGCTAAAATGAAGTCTATAATTAGGGTGAAATGGACTAAGTGTCTAGCTACCAGGCTAAATTTCGGCAAGCATGTTTCCACAAGGGTTGTTTTGTCGGGCTGGCAATTTGGCATAAAGAGCAAAGTTTCTTAAATCAAGTATATATTATGAGGTAGCCGCTGATTTTAATTACAAGAACACAATGTCCTCACTTGTTTTGGGTTCCAGGTTTTGCACAGAAAATCATCTGATTCAAAGTACAAAGCGACAGCAAAATAGGTGCGGCTGTCGATTGTGCTACAGAAATTGCATCAATGAAGTGATGGACTGAATGTCAGACTACCCAGTATATAGTCTAGTTAAAGTTAATTTAGTCACTGCCAGTCTTTGACTTGCCGAGGCAACCGTCACCTCATCGTGGAGATACTTTGGCAAGCAACAAACATCAAATTTCAAATAGAGTCTGCGTTACAAGATACCTGCCTATGGTAGTTGCAAAGCACAATATCTCACATGTTTTGGCCTCGTTGCTTTGCACTTAAATCATCTGATTGAATGTGCCAAGTGATAACAAAATATGCGTAGGCTTCAATGACACTTAAAAAGCCGCGTGTAAGTAGAACTATACTAAATTCTTGCCCACAAAGCATATGGTTAAAAGAAAGCTGAATTAATCAATGACAGTGTTCAATCTGGCATGGCAATCGTCAGCACGTTGTGGTGAGATCTCAGCAGGCAGCAAACATCTGATACTTGACAAATAGAACTGCTGTGCAGTGTACGCCAGTGCTGCCAACGCGAATAATTGTCTGGTTTTTTAAATATTTAAAAGACAACTACGGAATTAACATTACAGTTAAAAGTGTTTGGAATTAGCGCAGTTTTGAAATCGGGGAACTTAGGATTCGTGAGTGAAATACTAGATCACTCAATTGTTGGGCAACTAGACGTCCCGAAAACGGCTTGTAGTAGCTCAAGATTTGGCACTATCTTACAACACTCTAGTTAACATCCCGTAACAAGCCAAGAATGGAGTGAAGAGAGGAGACAGAGGACGCGAATGTTTAGTAGCGTCACGCCAGCCAAGTGTGTCTTAGTTTGTGGATGAGTTAACGGATGACAGGCATCTGATAACAGTAACCAATGAAAAGGAAATGAGTCATTGTCACCGTCAGGTCCGAAAACAGGGTTCACTCAGGCGCGATCTCTGTTACTCCGCTACAGGCTCATTAGGTGCTAGTATTTTGTCATAGTGTACATAATTCCCCTAGCACGCCAATTAAGTGGCTGGTCATCCAGGACACCCTACTGACAGCTCCGTCTGTGTCAGTTGACTTGATCCATCTCACTCGGCCTTTCGCTGAGACATTACAGGCCCGACAAGGGATCTATAGAATCGGTTATCTGAGGGAGTGTGTGGTTTTGGTTACGGGCAAAACGTAACATTAAAAAATGTTAGTAAGCAATACAAGCGAACGGAAGCAGATATAATCAAATTGAAAGTACCAGTCGATGGACGAAAATCCTGGCATGTTCTCCGCATTTAGTTAAATCACAATATGCCTTACATATTCGATGCCTGTTAGTCACACAGAATGGGCATAATTATATGTGGGCTTGGTTAAATGATCTGAAAATCAGAAAACATTTATGGCAAACAAGGTTTGGCTGTAGTGATTTCGTCAGGTTTGCAAGGTGGAATGCAGAATGTGAATTATATCGGGCAAAATTTTCCTCGTGCTTTAAACTCTTCCCTGCTTTACTTAAAGCATGTGATCAAAATCATCAGACCATTGTGAAAAAGACGCAAGTGTCGATTTTACTAAGAAGGCTGCATCCGACTAATTATCGAAAGCGATGTAGTAAACGCAGCAGTCCTACCTTCGCAAGTGACCGTTTGATCACCGTTTGAACGCCAGCTGCAAGACAAGTTCATTTAACTTATTAGATTTCCCGCGTTCTGAAAGCGATGACCGAACAGAAAGACTGCACCGGCGAGGTAGAATTTTAAATCCTGGCCTACACATTGATGCATCTATCGCATGTGACTTTGACATTACGGATGGAGAGGGTGATGGTATTGACGCAAGTTTCTTTGACTAGAAGAACTTATGCAATCAAGAATTCTGCCGTATTGTTGATTGAAACTGTATTGGGACGTAAGAGGTGCTTTTATGCGTCTCAGTACACTTGCCAGAACCGGAATGGGATGATATTATTGATGGACTTGCGAGAAGGTTACAGCATTTGTGCAGAATTGCCATCTTTTTTAATGGCGAATTATTAGCAGTTGTACTAGTATGGTTAAAACACATTATACAATGTTTGTGAGTACCAAATGCAAAGGCAAAGAGATTTATATAATTAGAACAACCAGTTGTGTGGTGACAAACTTGCCATGTCTACTGCATCCACTAAATTCCGACATGACAAACTGTAATTTCACAACATGCACTAATTTAATTGCGTTTTATTGCTCAGAGACTGCTAGTGTATAATGCTTTAATGAAGCTGCTTTAAATAAGCAAAATGCCGAGGCTCTGAAAGTCCATAAAGCATTCGAGTGTAGGATAAAAGCGTGAATTACTCGGAGCCAATTCTCGACCTGCCAAAGCTAACACTTTTTCGTTGTGCAGAAATTTCAGGCAGCTGGCAATGCCATCACCAATTTTTGTAGGAGTTGTGGCGCACGCCCAACTTGATAAAGTCGCAATGAGCACTTGAACAGTGCATTAGTGGTTGCAGTGGTGTGACTTTTAACGGTGACAGAGGTAAATCTTGGGAGAAAAGGTTAACATCACATTCTAGATTTCCTCAGATGTGGTAATAAAATTGATGGGAGTGTCAGTTTGCTTGGTGCAATCTGAAGTTCGACATTAATTCTTTAATTGGAAATAAACAATGAGAGATGAAACATGTTTGCGCCATTCAGATAGAATTAAAGATGCTATGAATTGGAAGAAATTTGAGTTTGTGCATTAAAACCTAGAGCCCTAAGAGTTATTAATCATTATCAGAAACTGCAGTAACAAGTAATTATGTCATGATCTTTACAAAATTGTAAACGCCTTTTACCGAAAACGGTGTTTCACTGGTATTTCAGTAGCAAAATATGTGGTTTATCGAAAAGGTACTTCCTTTAAGTGATTTATGTGGGCTATTTAAAAAAATTCTATGCAAAAATTGTGATTTCTATGGGTTCTGTTAAAAAGGATATGAGCTTCGAGCTATCATTCATGGAAGTGTTATGGAAGCTTGAGCAGGCTGCACACACTTGGCTAAGTGCATGTGATACTTGAGTTACGCCAGTGTAAGCATAATTTCTTAATTACAGTTGTGCGTTTTAGTAGGGGAAAAAATGAGCAGCTGCGAAACCGAGAAACTTTGCAGGATCTCTCCATTTTGTTTTACGACGTCAGTAGGTAGAACTGACACACACAGCACTGCAACCACGAAAACTGGTTATCACGCCCTCATTTCTGCACGCTTTCATTCTACTTTCTTTGCTGACTGCTAGTAAATGTGTTAGTCTGCTTTCTAATCAAAAAATGCTTACAATTCTCTGTGTGCTGCTTCGTGGGAAGACAAAGCGAAGTGCAACGTTGTGGATTTCGTCATGTTTTGGCAAACCCTGCCAAGAGAACCTGCGTCTAGTAGATTTACGTTTTTCTAACCATCCTGTTTCAGCATGTCGTTGGCTACGTGAATGGAAGCATGATGTAAACAGAATCAATGGTGCCCGAAAATGCGGCCTGGTAGAGAACGAGGTGTGTGGATGGCCGGTAGAGGCTAATCAGCAATGCTTTGTAAGTTGTATGCGTGTCTATGAGTATTGCGGTTTTGTGTAGACATATTAAATATGTTTTATTGCACGGGCATTTAAAGATGCTTGCAATGCGCATTTATTAATCACTTGGTACTTAATATAGCAACAGATTTTGCTCGTGTAGTATTTTAATATGGTAAAGATTTGTGTCAAGTGTTAGTTGTGCAATTATATGCGGAGAAGCGTGACGGCATCACAGCATTACCAACCTAGATTGTTGGTGTATCAATGAAACACAATATGAAGATATCGATGGACATGACACAAATCATGTTTTATCTGTTGTGTAAAAATGATTTGATGGATTTGTACAATGACTTCGTATAGGATAAAGCGCATTAATTGGATGGGCAATGTAGACTCAAAAAGTAGGGATGTGTAGAGCATTGCCAGGCAGTTAGTTATAATCTTCGCATTATTCAGCGAAATCCCTAGTTCGTAAAAAATGTTAAGTTGTCTGTAGTAGGCAGTTAATACGACAATAAGAGTTTTTGCACGTAGGTCAGCTTCTGCACTGAAATTAGTCTTCTAGTGCAACAAATCAGGCATTTCGTGACTGTTTTCGATAATAACTTGGTTGTTGGAGGGTTGTAGTGATGTCGATGGGTGTAACCTGCTACCATCTGTGTGAAATTACTAAAGCGTCACTAAATGAAGACTCACGAGATACTTTTAGTATCGCACTTTAATCACAAACTGCATGTTCTGGACTGCTATCTATAAGAAGTAGCGAAACGCAACCGTTTTGGTTGTAACGTAACGCATGCACATGCATGTATGCTAGCAATGTTCAATGGCATCTTGTGTGAATATGGGAAACCTGCATGCAAATTCAAGGGCACCACAAGGAACTGAAAAATCGAACAGGAGAAGAGCTTGCATTTAGCACCATATGATCATGCACCACAAATGATAACACAGCATTAATGTTAGTTGATGAAGATAACAACTACTGAAATATGGTACAGAGTATTCTTATTTTCATGCTGCAGCATGTGACGAGGCACCAGTCTACTTGGCAATAAATCCATTTAGTCTCATTATCGCTGGTTTAAGGGAAAGACAATGCCTCATTGGTCAATATCTGAAGTCTATAGTACTTACTTTAAAATCACATAACCTACATCGGCAGTTAATAGGATTCCCTCTACCATCTGACTAAATTCTGCAATGGTGTAGCTCGTAGAATTTAGGGATGCTACTAATTCGATTTTATGTTACCTGTCCTATACTTGGGTCACAGTACCGTCCGAATAGAGCCAACATGACGCTTTTGGCTTGCAAAGTCCAAAACGGCAATCCGTTCTATCGTCTCCTTCCTGCATAAAGTTTGGTTCCAGGAAATTTGCAAAACAAAGAAGCCGTTTTATATTTCGGCCTAAATTAAATTGATAGTCCAACTTCCACCGAGTGATCACACACAATCTGTTTAATCACAATTCAGCTATCTTAGCAGAAACCCACATTAATGAGAGGGTAGCGGAAAAAGGCTTCACATGGAGTGAGATTAAACCAAAGTTAATTTGTCAATTTTGTAGGCCCTTTGTGCCGTTGCATTACGCAATCATATTGGTCGTGTCCAATCAACGGGACAGACTTGGCTTTCACTGCAAAGATGAATCGTGCAATATGTTTTAACCCATTGGAAGGACACTGAAAAATGTGGATTCCGATGAAACAATGTTTGTACCTCAGCCGAGAACCTGCATCAATGGATTGGAGATGGCGCGTAGAATCCTAGTACTCTGAGGTAAGTAAATCACGTCGGTGTGTGTGTGCCCTGATGCTCTCATTAGCAAACCTTTGTCGATTTATATAAGCACACAAATTTGTGCATCGCCATGTTAATATTACAAGACTATTATAACCATAATAGAGATCATCGAATATGTAAATCATTTTTCCTGAAATTCGTGGTGCCAAGTGGTCAGATATTTGACTAAATCGGCATGCTCAATGTGAACGGCGAGGTGTGTGGGAAGAAACGGATTGTTGTGGTAAGGCATTTCGCGTTTACCATGTGCTCAGACAAACCCATAATGAATTAAATGTGTTTAAGTATTGGATAAACGAGTGTTTTCATCAGGATCGCCAAGTGTAGTGTAGTGTATTATGACGATCACGTTGGGGTAATCATCAAAACAATATGTGGTTCTGTGACTCAAGCGCAGACCTCAGCCGCCAGATGGTGCAGTTTCTTTTGATGGAATTTACACTACCGAAGGGAACTTGCCTTCTTCAGCTGTAGACAAAATCACGTTGTGTCTGTGTTCACACAAGTTCGTGTCTAGTTATGAGAAAGAACCGGGTGCATGCTGAAACGCGTTTGCAATAACAATGTGACTCACGACAAAAAAACATGCATTCCTGGGAAGGACGAATTGTCAAGGTTAGGATAACGGCGTCGACTAAATAAGTCAATTCAATGTTTTCGAGTTCTCTTTTCCAATGTTGATTCCTGCGATATTTGCCTCGACGTCGTGGGGATTCGAGCCAGACACAATTTAATGAGCTTTACCGAGGGCAACAGACTTGGTTATTTAGGTGTACCGATCTAGGTAGCTAAACTTGTAAATAGATGTCTCTGGTAAAGCTGGGCCTCATCCAGACCCGTCCCTACATTTGTCAGTTCCGCAACAGTCGTAGCTAGTTGAATTCCCGGATGGGTCCAACACGCCGAGGGCTGCTCTTTGCTGCAATGGACGAACTCGGTGTGTATCTTGTCGAACGTCACAGAGGCTTTCTGCTTAAGGAAATGGAGCAGCCGCATCGTGAACTTTGTCTACTTTGAGCATGAAAGATTTAATTTGGATTTCAACAGACCTTTCTTACATTCTGTCTATGTTACGTGTGCCCGTATCAAAGAGGAAACCACTCAAATAACGGTACCAGATTCCTGGCTGAAGCTAGAACCGACCTTCCCAGGCAAATGCAACAACAAGATCAGAGCCCGTGCAGAGAGCTTTATTCACGTCAGCCAAGTGCAGAGAAGTCAGGAATCGAAGATGAAAACGAAACCAATTCAAGTTAGGGTAGACCTTGAATTGATAGAAGGCATTACAAAACACGTTAGTGAATTAATGTAAATAGCATCAGAAACCAATCTTGGGGAATCGTGGATCCCCAACACCTCTTCTCCTTGAAAAGCTAATGACAATTCTTCTTTGGGTCGACTTGGAGTAGGTTTGGTTTCTGTTGTTTTCGGCTGCTCTTCCTTGGGTATGAAGACCTGTCTGCTGCTAGTTGATCTCTGTTGGTCTTCACAAGCGTTGCGATCGGTGGCGGCAGCTGAAAAGCGTCGAAAAGTACATCCTGTGGGATGCTGGTCTGGCGATTTGCTGTCGAAGAATCTTTTCTCAATCGGAGGTGGTTGCGATGCCTTGACCAGGTGTCGCGACCCATCGTCACGTCGAACATGACCTTGCCGTGTCGGCGTGCGATAGTCCGTTCGATCCATGGGTCCTGCCTTGGTCGATAGTCACGAACGTACACGGCTGTTCTGATTTCAAATGGCGTGGTAGATTTCGTACTCGGAGGCTCCGGGTGATTGTCCTGTACCGGAATCACTGCGGAATTTGTTGTTTGCAATTTGCGATCCATGAGTGCCTCAGATGGCGACTGTCGATTTGGTAGAACCTCGTTTGGTGTTGTACGGTAGACCAGCAGAAAATTCTGTAGACTTTCGACGGATGTCCTTCCTTCCCCACGGGATTTTAGCAGAGCTCGCTTCAATGTATCGACGAACCTTTCCACCTGTCCATTTGATGTGGGTGGTGGGGTGGGGAATGCATGTGTGCAATAGCATGCTGTCGAGAGAATTCCTTGAATTATTGAGAGGTGAACTGTAATCCGTTGTCTGAGACAATGGTTTCTGAAATCCCATGTCGGCTAAAAATCTGAGAGAAAACCCGTAATGTTCTCGTTGTTGTGGGGGAAGTCATTGGGACGATCTCCGGCCATTTTGAGATGGCGTCCACGAGCACAAGGTACAAGACTCCGTTGATCGGTCCAGCAAAATCGATATGGATCCGTGACCAGGGATTCTGTGGTTGTGGCCAAGGGACTGAAGGAACTTTGGGGTGGGTTCTTGGCAGCCTGCTGGCATTGGCAACAACTCTTGACTAGGTCTGCGATTTGCTGATCCATATTTGGCCAGTAAGCGTAGCTGCGGGCGATAGACTTCATGAGGCCTATGCCGGAACGACCAGTATGAAATTGACTAAGAACCCGCAAGCGCAGTGATTTGGGCACCACGACGCGTTCTCCGAACATCAGGCAGCCATCTATAACGCAGAGGGAATCGCGTCTCTGGAACAACTGCTGAATATCGCCAGTGGGGGAGCGCTTTGGCCATTTGCCTTGGACGTAACGGATGACCTGCCGTAGTGTGTTGTCCGAAGCCGTTTCCCGTTTGATGTCAAGAAATGAAATCGGCAGCGCACAAACCTTTTGAGATATCTGCTGAGTGATACTTTCGTCTACGTAGATGGCGGCGATGACGGCATCTTCCTTGGTAGTGGGCTGGTTACTGATGACAAGACTCGCTCTCCCAGTAGAGAACAAGGAGCTTTTGCTCCCACTGTCAAAGGCCGATTGACGTGAGAGAATTTTTTCGTTTGAACAAGTCATGTGGAAAGTTCAGCCGATTGCTTAAGATAAATAATCATGGGTGGAGTTGTCAGTGGGTTGTCTTGGTCGGTTGACCAAGTAAGATGGCTTGATTAGCGAAGCTGTGCATGCAACGACGAAATCCGCGTTAGTCGTTTCAATGTCGACGTGGCAATCAGTGCCTGATTTTAACGAAGCAGCTTCTTGATTACGCATCTTACAAGTTTGTTCAGTTAAAGTGTAGGTTAATTTGGTGTGTAGGGAGTCTCGGTCATTCACGTGCATTGTCTTTGTCGACGGATTACGATCCCCCTTAATAATTCCTCCTTCCCGATAATGCGCGTTTCTCTGGTGTGTGTTCCAATGTTAATGCAAAGAAGTTATGGTGGCCTGCTTAGCACTGCATTATAACCCTCTAGTTAATAGCCCGTAAGAGCCAGAGAACAAAGGCAAGACAGGCGACAGCAAATACGACCGTTTATTACCGTTCAGCAAGGCGGGTGTACTTGTGCGCGAATAAGTGCGCGTGCGTAACAGGCGACTGCTAACATGAGCCAATATGATACATAGATGAGTCCTCTAAACCAATAATACTCAAGGCAAGTTTCATTGTTTACGATTCACTGCAACAATTAGGGCGTCTTCTTAATGTGATGCACTGCAACACTTTCTTCCACTAAGACGATTTAACATTGTGAACCAGCGCGAGATACGCTGACTTCCGTGTTGCCTTCATTTCATTACATTTGTCCCACATATTCTTAAACTCACTGCCTAACCGATTGCTCTTACCGTTTTCTGCAGATAGGCAGATCAAAATATTGTTAATTTTGATCATATCGCCGACAAGCAAACGCAGTGCTTTTCAAATCATCATGCGTCGGAGACATACATCGAATAGTGTCTAGGTGCGTGTCTTAGCTTAATAGACGATGCATAACATAACATCATGTTTTGCAGGTAACTTCAAAGACACGATTGTCAACGAAGGCTGTGTGCGTGCATAATTTTAATAAGTGTGGACCCACAAGTCAGTACATTCAGTTTAATGCCCTGAATGCATGTCGATCCTGTTAGTTACACCCCAATACATTGTGTGGAAATTTAAGAGACCAAACGTTTTGACCGCAAACAAATACTGAAAATAAAAATAATTTAGGCGGTCCATCCTGTCAACATTAAACTCGCTTTCGATTGCCGCGCATTCACTTCCAGCTTTGCACGGTCTTCACTGAAAAATTTACTTTCAATTTGGCCAAACTATATTACGCAGTCTGTAAAAAGGCTGTTTGGAGATATTTTGATGGAATGTTTCATCTTCGACACTAAATGTGAACTTGGAAAATGGAAGTTTGAAAAGACACTGATGGATATGCGTTTACAATGCCATCTTTCGGACGCAGGTTAATTTTGCGTGTCTGGGTTCTGAGTCCAGCTACAGGAAAATTCGAGCCTCTGAAAAATTTGCGGGCACTTTTTGCATTCCATATAAGGTCGATTTTAAAATAGTGCTCTCCCATAAGAACTCAGTTCGTGAATTTGAATGTAATCTACACTCAGCTTAGATTACTACGTGGAAGGGATTTTGAGGCAGGAGAGACATGGTTTGAAAATGGCCAATCCAGGAATAAATAATGACGAATTATTTATGCCTCGGACTAGCTGGAATCTTCTTTAAAGTCCAGCTGTCTACTTCCAGTGACTAAACACAGCTTGCGTATCTTTCAAAAGTAACACGGTTGGACCGTCTCTCCTGGATGTTTGTTTGACTGCAAATGACTGGATGCCTAGGAAATTATAAGCACTACGTTAGTATTATAACGATGAGGCGATTCATGCAGATCCGGGACACAAGATATTAAACAAGAGATGGTCGCGCGTCTAAAGACGACTGTACACTCTGTAGTCTTTAGTCCAGACAGCGCCATTCCACGAAAGCTAAATTTACGTGCTACTACAAATGCAAGCAGACATTGCATTCATTCCTGCACTAGATTGACACTAGTGTTCTCGTCGACTTAATATGCTTATTTAATGTTTTTACGATGAACTGGTGAACACATTGGAGGACATTAACGACGGCTTGGCGTTGATACCTACAAGGTCTCACCAGCTTGATGCCAAAAACATCTCTTGAAATTTACCTAACACAGAACTGTGCACAAAGCAGTGCCGAATTCCTCTAGTTGCATCTTGTCATTACTAAACGTGTAGGTGCTCAATTTCTTTCATCAAAGTGCAGTAGTTATAGAACAACAAGAATCTACAAAAGCAATTCGGAATGTGCAAGCTCGGTCCTGGCAAGGTCATGTGAATCACGGAACCAAGACCAACTTTGAGATTACGTTGAGATTCCCCGCATAATTTTGTATCTTTCTGCTTAAGACGCGACAGTTGAAATTATACTTCAGGAATTGCCTCCACACTAGAATGCACTCAGGTATTCTCGTCTATCCATGCACTCATAACGGGGAGAGTCTCACCAAAGTCCACAACCATCCATTCACGTGCATTTACAGAAAACGACCAGGTTTCATTGAGGTGAACAATCCAAATCTAACTCGTCTGTCGACATTTTCGGCTGCACAAATAATCCTTGCATCGGCAATTCTAGGACAAATTTGATATTGCTTTGCACGTCAGTGCACGTATTTTGCTGATCAAAAATACGTTTCCTTGTTAATTTAAGGATCTAACTTTAAGATGACTTAACTGTGGGACCAGATTACTTCCATAAACATTGCCCATTCAATGCACTTTGTGCCACTGACAGTCCCTCTTAGCTCTCCGCGTCTAAAAGGTCTCCTTCTCAAACAGTCAAACACGTATGGGTCAGTAGTATGTAATTTAGGCCTGCTGAATACAGTTAAAAAGAGTAAATAGGCAGAGTGTTTAAAAGTGCGTGAGTATGTGTGTGTGGGAGTGGAGTGGAATTTCATAAGATTAAAGACAGGAAAAAAGGTGAGGGGACAGAGTGGTGCAGGACATTAGGAAATCGCGTTTGGCGAAACTGAAAGTCATTGAAAGTGGCGTTGTGGAGGCAGAAGCAGCGGGAACTTAAGCTGACGCCTTTGTGCATTGCTTCCGGTAGCAGGAATATCCCTGTGGACATTGGCTGCAACTCTCACCAACTGTGTACGTTTGATCCGGTGGGTTATTCATCCTACAACGGTGTAAATTGTGAAATGACAAGCAAGCACACCAGTGCAGTGTCACTATACATTGAAAAATGGCTGACCCTACGGCTGTTCGCTCCCCTTCGAAAAACATTAGTTCTGCTAGTTGTTTCCTCAACACTTCCCACCCGTGAGTATGCTTTATGCACATTGATGACCCATTTTCGCGTTCAAGTGATTGCCTCTAAAGTGTTCCTAAATTCCTGCACGTTTGTTGGCAAATGCTGCCACAATTCGGAGTACAGTTCCTACATTCAGGATGATTACACCCGTGTGCCAAACTATCCCATTTGTTGTCACCCATCCAAACCACACTGTCTTAGTGATTTCAATGAGCAGCTAGGCACGCTGGCGCTGCGCCACTAGACGTAGATCGGACCAGTGTTTGGTGAGTGAGTGAGTGAGTGAAAGTGAGTGGCATGTAGAAAGCGGAATAAACAAACCCCGGTTTGTAGAGACACCCGATGAGGTAGTTGGAATGGCGAGCGGGTCCGCAGAAGTGAATGGCGCATCCAACCTCCGTCGATTGTGCCCACACCATCTAAGAAACAGCAGATAGCAAAACAAATGACTCGGTGAATAAAACGTCTCACGTTGACTTTGGTACGTGTGGTGCTGCTTCAAATTAGAAGTGCGCACCTCATCTCCCATTACAAACATGGCACCACGTTCGTATCCACAATAGGTTAGCAGAAAAACAAATTATTGCCATGCCGAATACAAAATCACATAATGATTCTTCCTGTGTGACTCGTCAATGCTCCAAAATACAAGTACCCAATTCCACCGAACCGTCGTAAATTGCGCAACTCACCTTCCTATGACTCTGGCAGAAAGCAAAATGGCGGTGTTGAGAATCGCAAAATCTTAATGAAGATTGATAATCTTGAAGGTATTCCAAGACGCTGGGTTTGTAGGGAGAGTACGACTTGATCGTCATTGTAGTGCCGTTGAATTCCGTGTCGACAAGAGGATCAGGGTGGTTATCTGGACACCGAGACAAATAGCGCTCTGCAATCTGTTCCAACTCGACTGAGTAATTCTAAAGGAGTAGACAAAAACGTCTTTTTTGGCGGAATGGCTGGATGTGCTTAGTGCACACCAGGACATGGTGTTCAACAAAGTCAATTGTTAACAACGGCGTTATAGGTGTGTTCGTTTGATTAGGCACACGTGAGACTAAAGGCCACGTACGAAAAACATACCAGGAGCATCATGTTGCTGGCAGGAGGCTGGACGTTCTCGCGTAGTTGTGTGAGATATTGGAGAGCCGCGTCGCGTTCATCAGTGGTTAAGCATTGCACGCTCCCAAGCCACAAAACAGACAGCAAGGCGACGAGGATCTTCATTGTCTACAAAATATGGTTACACTGTTAGTGACTTGCCTTCAGTTGGATGCCGTGGAGTAGTGGTAAAGAAAGGAAGTTTGAGGGAAAGGAACTTCTAACTGACATTGTTGAGTACCCCGATTGAAGTTATATAGTCTGTAACAAATGAGTGGAGACGATTGGTTCTCATTTGGTCGAATGAGACTGCTCGATACCAAGTTTTGAATTGATTGGTTCCTGTATGGATTCGGATTCTGCCACCTACGCACATTGAAGTGCAAAACAAAGATGCATGGTCACGTGTAAACATCTTCTAGAAGGAACTCCATGATTAGTTTACCGACCTGGTTTTAGTGCTACCAAATTCACTTTAATACGCCAAATAGGATGCCCTTTGACTGGCGGTTAGAGAGGAAATGAAATGATTGTGGCTTGATCGTGGAATGTGGCATTCCAGCAGTTGCTGATCTACTCGACAATTCCTAACCGCTAAACGCAACAACGCCAGCATGAGTAATTTGAATACCCTGCAAGTATCACAACCTGAAGTTTGATTTTGCAGACTCAGCTGTTATTAAAGCAAGGCATGGGATTCAGTCGTTCACCTGTGTTTGGCACATAAACGCATGGCACATCTGGCAGCGTTTCACCTGGAAGACGTAACTCGTAGCACCTGATGTGCTGCTAATAAGGTGAAACACCTCAAGTGTAGAGTGTTGTAAATTGTCTTAGGCCTCATCAACAGCCCGTGGTCTAGGGGATTTTCGTGGTGTGTCCAATATGAACTAATTTTAGGCCTAGTCAAATTTCACTTCATTAAGCATGAGCCCATTTGGGTTAGGGTACGCCATCTTGTTCATTTAGCACTAGGCTGCAAAGAATTGATGGTGCGTCAATTAGTTTAAAGTCGTGGCTCGTGGTCAGGTTTTAGGGTCAGTAGTCATTTGCTTGTAATTTACCCACCACCAGTTGTGATCTTATGTTCAATCACTAGCCCGATGCTGACGAAGACCACAAATTGAAGGATCAAATGACGATGTTGGTGACTATAATGCTAGAAAGCAAGTGCATAATGAATTATTGAAGCAGGGAGTTGGGTGGATCGCCATTGAGAATGCGATTTATTTCGACAAAGCTCTGATTTTCGGACTTGCGCCGGTTCTCTGTAACCTCCTCAGCACTACGACCACCCACGCTTGTCTTGCTGTGTTTTGGAACTTTTAATCACATGCCTTAATGCAACCGTTGAAAGCCAAACCACGTGGGAATATTGTGCTTGCCCCAAACAAGATCAGACAAGGTTGACCTTGACTTGATAAAAGTGTAACAAAACAAATGTTAATAAATTAATGTAAATAAAATCAGAAATAAATCTTGGGGAATCGTGGATCCCCAACACCTTGTCTCCGTCTATGTTGTCAAAAAAACCCTCACGACCACACTAACAAATATTGGATCACCTGATACGGTAAGCGTAGACCATCGTAAATTTGCTCGTATGGATGGGAACAACGACCAAGTAATCTTAGTCAATTACATTAAGTCTATTCGCCCTCCCTTTGTAACAATATGTTGATCTGCCGACTTGAATGATTCCGCAACAATTTAATATCTAATGTGTATTTGCCGTTTGTGAGTATGGTTTCTCAATATGCCAAACACGTATTGTTCATAATGCATTAGTGTCTGTTTAACCTATCATTTCTCAAGTGCAAATTAGGTAGCAAAGTGGAACATTTCAATAAGACACAAACAGCATTTTTACAGACTACGTAACATAGTTTGGCCAAATTGGAAATAAATTTAGATGGGCAACGTTTATAAAATTAACCTGGTGGCATATTTAAATCGTCCTAAATTCAGATCATTAAATTAACAAGGAAACGTATTTTGGCCAGCAAAATGCGTGCACTGACGTACAAGGCAACATTAAATTTGTCCTAGGAATGCAGATGCAAGGATCATTTGAGCAGCCGAAAATGTTAACAGACGCGTTACTTTTGAACGGTTCACCTATAAGAAATCTGGTGGTTTTCTGTAGATGCAAGAGAATGGATGGTTGTGGACCTGTAGGAAGGGATCCCTAACACAATTTTTGGTGAGACTGTCCCCGTTTTGAAGGCATGGATAGACGAGTGTACTTGAGTGAATTCTCGATGCAAGTAAAAAGCATATTTCACATTGGAATTTGTAACCGTCGCATCTCAAGAGGCATAATGCAATATTGTGCGAGGAACGTCAGCGTAATCTCAACGTTGATTTTAGTTCCGTTATTCAGAAGACCTTGGTAGGGACAACTTTCTACATTTGACCGTTATTTGATCATTGTTAATGAAGTATATGCTTCCTGTAGTGGCCTAGGTACCGAAGTCCCAGTACGTGCCCTGATTATTCTGTAATGAGTGAATATTAAAAACATTGGTGATGTCTGCTTGGGATAAAATTGTGTGCATTTGTTGCATCATTCATTTGGAAATTTGAGAGCACACAGATGTCCATATTAGTTTTGGAGGTTAGTGTCATCTAGGAGATGAAAACACAAGCACTGACGTTTGCGTACCTTCTAAAACGCCACCTGATGTCCATTTATGCAGTCTGTGGAGATATTGCTGCTGTTTGCATCGTTATTGCAAGACCTCAACCAATTATGATCAGGCGCTGGTAACAATCGGGTTAACACGATTGGTGAAAATGGGTTTAAGCAATTTAAGGTCTTGTGGAAGATGTTCAGATGAGTGGCATCCGTTTGAATGGTTTTCGAACAGCCTGCATCTTAAATAACTAAGCAATAAATAAACAGCGCAAAATCCCCACTTCCCCACTCAAATAGTGTTTTTATGTTCCTGTGTTTTTTGCTTGTTGTTAATTATTAGAACACCGTAGTAATGTACCGAAATCAATCCGGAAATATTTTTAGAGATCTTTTTTACGTTTCTGTGAATTAGGGCGCTACAATTGCTACCGAGACTGAGTTGACGCGATGGAAAATATTTTTCAGCCGTCTCAATTAGTCGTCTTGTGTGAAGAATCTTCAGGAACTAGCACGTCATAAATCACCTCGCAGGTATGACTTTTGCACTTGGTTTTTAAATCTTAGCAAGTCTAGCATTAAGGAAACTTACCGATTCCCAAAGATCACTTGCAACGATTTGGCAAAGGTAGTCATTCTTCCTGCCTCAGCCATCGCCGGTAAAATGACACTACCCTGGGAACATTAAATCGAACCCTTATATCTACGACGAGGACTAATTTTGGACGTGACGAAAAGACAGAGCATTTGCTCACGAAATTCCATCCAGAACTAAACCCACGTGTGTCACATTCCCTGTTTCAATGAGTATGACATTTCAGTTTCTTTTTGCGTCCAAACTATGTTCTGGCTCTTGGTTGAAAATTGGCACCGCTAACAGTGTTGATTACGCTGACCTCACATAACCGATTTCCAAAACGGAAGGCGATAAGCTCCATTGTTTATGAAGCTTACAATGAACTATTTAATGAAGCGTACTTCCTCATACTTCAATTAGTGTTGGTCGTGATTCCCCGCATATCCACGACCAACAGCAAGCATTAAAATTTCGACAAAGCGAACACATGACAGAGAAGTCTATTCATTTATTTATTTTATCACCTCCCTACCAATTCCACCCAGAAATGTATCCACGTGTGTCACATTCCCTGTTTCATGGAACGTCCACCCGCAACGCCTAACACGGTCGATTGTTTCAGAACTCGCATCCACTGTGCATATGCATTTGACCAGAGTATTAGCAATTTCAATTTGTCATTTCATCGACTTACATCCACAAACCCTAAAAAAGGAAGGCATGCTCTCGTGTAAGTCGGTACAAACAACTTGCGGAGAACCAATCGAATCGACTCCATTCCTGTTTCAAGCACTGAGGTTTGTGCGTGGTGTGGGTGTGTGCAAACATGCTTACGCAAGTTGTCAGAAATCTAACACTAATTGAATCAACGATGCAGGCAAAGCCCTCCGAATCTCATTGGGTCAATCCGTGTTTACATGGATTGATACTTGTTGATCGAAACTTCGACAGGCAAAATTATCCCGCATAATGTTGTTTTTAATTGCTGTGAAAACACCATGTGACTGAAAACACCGACCTACGTCCTAATAATGGTAGGCGTCAAACACGATGTGCAATATGCAAGAAACAGGTGGCAGACGACATTAAGAATTCGTTTAAATGATTCATAACCTCTGTGCGGGTCAAAAGACGTGTTGGCAAATTAAGAGAATTTAGCCCTTGGGCTTGTCAAAGTGCCTAGTTGAAGAATCGTCTTCTGTTGTAGAAGGTGTTACTATACGTGCGCATATTTTATCGTGTTTAAAGGCAGCAAGAGAGACCAGTTTTCGTGAGTTCGCTAAGGAAAGTTACAGGATTGCTTACTTCGTTGAGTTCAGCGAATGACCCAGAATTGGAAGTCCCAATCTAATATCTACGCGTCAACTCCTGACCGACATCGCATTGCTGTGGTGATAGGCCCTGGATATGTTCTTGAAACACATCAAGGTCGCGCATTTGTATGGACCCGAATAAGCTACATTTATTCTGGTGGCGACAAAAATGACTGATGATAGCTGTGACAAATCCTAATTTTACTGTAGTCTGTGTATTTTCACAGTACTGCATGACTGAACGACCAGATGAGTCGCAGGAGTGACGGGGGAGGTAAATGCCCAGGGGTGTGTTAGCAGACAGTCACGCATGACTGGCGGGCAGAGCAGGTGAGGCTGTTGCCAGCTCAAACATGTGGCCTCAAGCCAAAGCACGACCGCCGCCTTATTGTGGCCGGTTTACATTACACTGTAGTGGCTTTGGGATTTAGCACTACCTTACAACCCTCTAGTTAACGGCCCGTAACTACCCGAGGAGAGGGGAAAAGGAGGCGACAGAGAACACGACCGTTTATTAGAGTCGAACCGGCCAAGTGGCTTTGTGGGCGTATGAGTACGCGTGCGTAACAGGCGAATGCTGACAGGCCAGTAGTACAAGGGGTGAGTCATTAGTCCACTCGGGCCCTCATGCATGCTCACTCACACGAGGTGGCTGTCAGTCCGCTACAACACTGATACTCAACAAGACTAAGAAGACAAGAGATGGCCGACACACAACCTTTATTAGATTTCGTGACCTAGTTATGTGTGTGATTCGACAGTCTCCCATGTCTGACGGATATGTGAAAGGGGGAAGGTCAGTGTATCGGAGAATGTGACGATCGAGTTGATAGCCGCCAATCAACACAATT